TGGAAAAAACACAACACTATTATTAATAAATTTTGGGAATATTGGTCAATCAATTATCTAATAATGTTAAGAGAAAGGAGAGATGAACATCATAATCCCAAATTTTCGGCAAAAGGAACCCCGCAAGTAGGTGAGATAGTTCAAATTTATGACGAAAAATTACCAAAAGGCTGCTGGAAAATTGGAAAAGTAATAGAAAATAACAAAAATAGATCAATAAAATTAAAATTGGGAAATGGTAAAATATTAAATCGACCACCTAACCATTTATACAGCCTAGAGATCCCAAGAAATGAAGAAAACGAGGTGATTAAAGAACAAAGTATCATACTAAGAGCGAAACATAAAAAGCGAAAAGTTACGGATAATATACTCCTTTTATGCATTCTCGCGATTATGTTACCGGGAAGTCTCCTACAATCTCCAATGATATGCCCAGGACAGAAAAATCAAATGTATTGGAGAATAAAGAAAAATCACCAACCTTGTGTGAATTTTACGGAAAATCCACCTCTCCCTACAACACACAGTTTCGACATCTATCAACCAAATATAGACCTTGTTCCAATACCAGCTGCACATTGTTCCATATTAAGCACAAATTACAAATACAAAAAGGATTTATTAAACATACCACACATTTTTTCGACAAACAGAAAAGAAGAAATAAGCATAGAAGAATGCAACAGAATATGGAAAAAATCAAAATGTAGATTAGGGGAATTAACTGGAAACAGGAATACAAGTCATACAAATAATAAAGCAAAAATAGAATACTCTTATTGGTCAATTGGATATCAAGAAACAGGCGAATCCAATTGTTTCTTAAGCAAAATAAGCATTTACGCTAAACCAGATTCATCTTCAATATTTTCCCCGGGAGTTGATATTACACATTGCCGATATGAAAACGCAGCTTGTCTTTTAGAAGATGATTCATTGATTATTTGGGAAGCAGAAAATAAAGAAAAAAACGAAAAAATGTGTAAATTTTCAAGAGTTAGGAAATGGAAAGGCACTTGGATGGGTAGAATTTGGTTAGCTGATAATAAAGAGATAGGAATTTCATTTACAAATAACCCCACAAAAATAATAGATTGTAATAAAGAATTAATCATAAGCGAGCAAGGTTACGCAGTACCAGCACAGCAATACCAAATATTGAGCTTAAAAGAAAAAATAAGGAGAAAACGAGAAAATAAAAACACAAGAAGCGGATTAATTTTGAGTAACCAATTAGCCGCAGAACTAACAGCCACCGAAATACTCTCTACAGAGAAAGTTAAAAAAGTATTCAACCATTTGACTAGTATCCTTTGTGCCAAAGATATTAACGGAGAACACCAAAACAAATTAATAAGCGGAACCGACAGCAACATTGTAGCTAAGTTAATCATGAATACACCATATGTCTTAGGTAAATGGATATCCAATGAAATATTAGAGACAAGAACATGCTTTCCAATACCTTATGAGAACATCACATTTCTACCGAATGAAAAATGCTACAAAGAGATCCCAATAAATGTCACTTTAAAAGAAAAAATAATAAAAGCATTTCTTGAACCAAAAACATTAACTATAGTAGAAAAGGCAAGCGAAACACCTTGTTCATATGAGAGATTCATAACTATATTTATCGGGAAAAAATTGTTGAGAATTGATCAAAAGACGGGAAAAAGTAAAGAAATAAATGAAAAACAAATACATGAATTAACACTCGACCTACAAAAGCCAATACACCTCCCTCAAATTGAAACACACGCATTCCACAACTTAATTATAAAGAACTATAGTGACCCTAGAATTGAAATTCTCCAAATGTTCCAAACCTATGGAATAGACAAAAAATTTGAACAAGAAAAAATTGAAAATGCAATAAAAAATGGAGAATACGTACACACCGAAGAATCAGTTAAAAATCCATTAACAAGCATTCTTGAAAAAATTTGGGAAATTAATCTTGAAAAATTGTGGATTAGAATGGTAGCACTGTATATAACATACATCTGGCTATTCGACAATATTCTCCCTTTTCTACTTAAATACATAAAAAATACTAGAATCGGAAGATTCTTGGCACAGGTATTAACAATAATAGTAAAAACACCCGAATCAGAAAAAACAGAAGAAATAATCATGAACACAATAATGAGGAAAATTAAGGATGAGAAGAAAGACGAAGAAGAAAGAAACGAAGAAATACGTCTTCGCGCGGCCGCCAGTGTCGTGTAAGGAACACGAAATTATAATTATTTAATAAATTTAAATATTTCCTCCTATTTTTCCCTTTATTTCACCTGTCCGCGACAGGCAATTTCATAAATTATTTTCCCATAAACATCCACTTTGACCCCTTCTTCTCTCTTCTTTTTCCGGAAACTATTGTCTTTTCACCCCTAGTTAATACTATTTTCCATATCACTTCTCTATTCACTATTGTTTAAATCTCTGCCTATTGTCCATTATATCCCCTATATAAACAATAGGCAGATCTTCCCTATCATCTTCAGTTTCAATTTTCCATTAATTCTTTATAAAAATATTTAATTGTATTTTTAATTTTAAAGATAAATATTTTATTTAAATTCACTTTATTCAATAACTCTTGGGACCTAGCTTCCCCAAAAAATTTATTTGTCAAAGTAAGCTTTTAGTTGACAAGTAGAATGATACTATGATCGGATAGATTTGTCGATTTTGAACCAAATTATGAAGATAAATCCTTGATGGACATGCTTTTTGTGGTGTTGAAAGGGATTAAAACAAATGGTCATAACTATGTTTATTTAAGTCGGATTTCGATGAATTTAGCACCGTTCTACTCAGCTTGAAGAGCTCTTTCGAATGATATATAATTTGCATAAAAAGTTTAAAAAATCGAAAAAAATTGAAAGGAAAAAAAGGGGGGGGGGACCAGCCTTGGAATTACCCTGTTTTGTGACCGCACTTTAAAAATGTTTAAAAAGGGTCATGAATATCGACAAATTATATGTCATTCGAAAGAGCATCTCGAGCTGAGTCGAATGATACCAAGATCATGTGGTATTTGAAATGGTACTGGCTCGAAATGGTCAAAAGATACAAGGATCAAAACGGTCAAAATAATGAATATGACTAAAATCTATGTCATTTGAAAGAGCTCGGAGAGCTGAGTCGAAACACACCAAAATCACCGTTATTGAACAAGATTGGACAAAGTTATGATCGTTTGTTTTAGCTTTAGCTATGCCATCCATACATAGGTTTACGTTGACCATTTCGAACCTTTTTATCTTGGCTCATTATCAAGATCTCGAGCTGATTTTGGTGTCATTCGACTCAACTCGAGGAGCTCTTTCGAATGACATATATATAATTTGTGCATATTCATGACCTTTTTTAAACATTTTTAAAGTGCGGTCACAAAACAGAAAAATAACACCCGCCTAAATTCCCGGAATAATATAATTCATTGATTTTTCACCCAGAGCCAACATGGAGCGGCTCCAAAAATCACCGGGGTAATATTGAAGAGTACAGACCCCATTTTTTCCCCTATATTTTCACAAAATGGTCAAACTTTTCCTTCCTTCCATCCAATTTACCTTTCTAATTTTTGCTACAATCAAACTAAAAGGATTATTTTTTGGTATTTAACAAGTATGAGTTTTGAGAAGATTCATTTTCTCTATTAAAACTAGAGCTAGGAACGGGTCCGGGACCCGGACCCGTTTCCCGGTTTCCGGGTCCCTTTTCCCGGTTTTTTTGAAGCAACCGGGTTGAAACCGGGAACGGGTTTTCCCGGTTTCCCGGACCCGGTTCCCGCCCGGTCCATTTTTCAAAACCCGTTACCCGGACCCGGTCCCGGATTTTTTTTCACCGGAAAACCGGGAAAAATATTTAGTGTATTTGCGTACTTTGATATTAAATTTTTGAAGGAAAAGGGAAAGGAATATTTATAATTTCTCCATTTTGCTTTTGTCGGTCGATGGTTGAGTGGTTAAGTTGACTGACTTCACTCATCTAGTTATTTTGATAGGGATGGGGTTCGAGTCCATGTATGGAAATGGGGCTGAGAAAATTTTCTTTTCAAAAATAAATAATTTTAAACTTTGATTTTAAATTTGAAAATTTTTTTACTGTTTTAATCTTGAAAAAATCTTAGAAATTTCAATTAAATCATGAATTTTCCAAAATTTTCACTGTGGCGCAGAAAATTTAAGAGTTCTGGCTTCATTACCATCTAAACTTCGAAAAATTTTTTCGCCGGCAGCTCTGACAATTGAATTCTTTTCTGCTAAGGCCTATCAAAATTCTCAAAATTTTCGCCTACGGCGCAAAAAATGGCGCGAAGAATTTTTAGTTCAATAAGATTAAAAAGAATTAAAAGGGATATCTAAGGATTCTGAAGGAATTAAAAGGAACTAACATTCTGAAGGAACTAACACATAACAACCACTCGGCCAACATATAAGGGCTTTAGAAAGAATTTAAACATATGTAGTACATATTTCTTTGAATTTTTTCATTAATCCCAAGTACGAAAGAACAAAAGGCAGCAGTCGATGAACGTATTTTTCAGAAAAGGGAATTCGATCTTGAGTTAAATAATCGTGAATGGCATTCACTTACATTAATAGAGGTTATTTAGAATAAGTATAGGAGAATAGATGAAAAATACAGCCCTATGTGGAAAAATAGACCCCTATTTCAACAAATTAAAAATTTCCCGGTTTCCCGGCCGGGACCCGGTCATTTTTGACCGGGTTGAAACCGGGAACGGGTTTTCCCGGTTTCCCGGACCCGGTTCCCGCCCGGTCCATTTTTCAGAACCCGTTTCCCGGACCCGGTCCCGGTTTTTTCAAAATTCCTAGCTCTAATTAAAACGGGAAATAAAATATCAAAAATAATCCTTTTAGTTTGATTGTAGGCAAAAATTAGAAAGGTAAATTGGATGGAAGGAAGGAAAAGTCTGACCATTTTGTAAAAATATAGAGGGAAAAATAGGGAGGAAAAAATGGGGTCTGTACTCTTCAATATTACCATCGCCGGCTCGGGAGCTGGAGCCCAGATTTAAAAATGCCGGAGCCGTAGTCAAGTTTTTAAAAAGGTCGGGGACGGAGCTAACAAATGCAAAATACCCAGCACTGGTCGAGACCAAGACTTCACCCCAAGACCAAACCCGAAAAAATATCCCAAGAAAAGTCTTGGAATCAAGACTCAAGACTAAGAGTCTCTGACGTCTCTAATATTTTCATATTTTACTTTTTATATTTAGACTTCCAAAATCAATTTCTTTCATTTAATTTTAAACAAGAAATGTCAACAGATTTACAACAAACACAACAAAACAACATAACAACACAACAAGGCAAACAATATCATCCTGTGCAATATTGTCTTTTTTATGACTTTTTCAGTTAATTTATTTTTAAATGTATTTCTAATTTTAATTTTTATAGCTGTCTTTGCCAAGGGTCAATCAATTATTCAAAATATACAAAGCGGATCTGTTCGGCTTGAAGGGTTTATTTTTTATTTTCTGCTAGTGGGGAATTACGGACTTTAAGGCCTCCTTTTTTAATTTTCTCCCTATGTATTTTCCATTTGTTTTACCTTTTTCACGTGACAGATTATTCTCGATTTGCATATTTATAAGTGATTCATTTTTTAAGAAAACGTCCGGGCCTGTCGTTCAAATTATCGATAATAGAGCTAACAATAAGTCGGCCCTTTACTAGGGGGGGGGCTTTTAGAGTTAATTTAAAAGAAGCTCGGGATGCGGAATCGATGGGTTTTGGAGCCGCTCTATATTAGTTTCGGGATTTGGCGGGGTATACTAAGGGGGTTTTACTTAAGTGGCGCAGCCGCTAATAATTTAGATTTTTTTTGTCAATCTTAGATTTTTGACAAAAATTTGTTCTTTTTATTCTGGGATTTTTTCTTCCTTCGACCTGTCAGCTTTTCTAAGTTGAAACGAGCTAACCAATTTTTTTCAAAGATTCATTTGTTTTAACCTTTCCTATTTTTTAAAATTCCTTTTTCCCCTTAAAAATACATTTGTATTTTTTAGAGCTCTACTTCTAAGCAAACGTTACAAAGCAGCATTAAAAAGGGCAATAAAAATGTTGGAACAATCCGATATTTTCGTAGACTCTTCGCAAACAGATGTTCTTCAGCTTGGAGAGGAGCTTTGTTCTGTAAATCTTATTTGGTCATTAATTGAGGCTGTTTCTATTAGACCTTCAAGTATTTTTTTTAAATTTTCTTTTTTTGATAATTTTTTGAATCAATTATTCAATTATCTAATCAATTATTCACCTTCATTATTTTCAGATAATCTAATTTCTATTGATTTACTTGAATGGGCACGTGAATGCTTTCCTTCAACTCAGTCAGTTGTTCCAAGCTCGCAAGAAGGCCGACCACATGAGACGAGTTTTTTGAGTTCGATAATGGAGTCTTTAATGCAGCAAGAAAAGCCTGAACTTCATGACTCTTATTGGAATGCTGTAAAAATTTTTGAAAAATTTTTTGAAAATTTTTAAAAATTTTTTAGGTAATTAGACAAGCAATTGTAGCAGACTTCGAAACAGTCGCAACACTGTTACAATTCCATTCTGAATATAAAACTAATGAGCATATAAGAAAAATGGTTAAAATTTTGAATGCTGCAAATGATGCTCTTTTTAAACATGACAGAACAAATTGTGAAGAATTTTTATCTTTAATTAAGGTTTGTGGAAAATTTATTCTCGTTTTTAATTTGTCGACATTATTGGTTTTTGTGGTCGATTGGTTAGTGTGTTTGATTATCTGATAAACTGGGTGGGGTTCGAGCCCTTTGGAGTCTAAATTTTTTTTATTTTTGTTCAATTATTTTTTTGAGAATTTATACATTTTTTACCATTTTATTTTTAGAAAATTCGTGATTTCACTTCTCAAAATCAACTCAACCGTCTTAACGATAATTTGGCTGTTATTTGTTCTTTGGTTATTGGAGATAAAGGAACTTTTAAAAAATATTTTGACATTTTCCGTCCAAGTTGGTTTGAAGTACTTCCTGCATTTCTTTTATTTTTCTATCCGTCTGTGGATGATGAACAATTGCCTAGAGTTATTGAGGTTTGTTAAAAAATAATTTTTTTTTAATACTCAAGAGAAGCTTCTTAAGACCCCCCTCCCAAAGAATCATTTAATCACCAATAACATATTTTATGACCTTATTTTTGAAAATTCTTGACTTTTCAGTTTTCCTTTCCAGATTTTCATGTTAATTTTTTTTCCAAATTTTCCCTTTTCCTCACTATTTATTTTCCCATTTCCCTTTACAGGCCAGTTACTTCCTTTCCTCTTGATGCAGGCCTGCCCCTTTGTTTCTCTTCATTTTTTCTGTCTAACAATTGCATTATAAGCTCTTCTTCCTTCCCCAATCCTTTTTTAAAGCTTTGGATTTAATTAAAATCTTTTTTCGATTTTTCCATCATTTTGAATCTTTTGTATTAACACTTCATCTTTTTTAGCGTTTATTTGAATTACTTGGACTAGCTAGACACCAACTTTCAAAAATTGAACAAACAGTTTTGGCCATATTAGAATTAGATTTAATTCGTGCATTAAAAATAATTTGTTCTGCTGGACCTTCACTTTGTTGGTTTGCTGTTCATTTAGTTGATTTACTTCATTTTCATGACCCTAATTATTTAAATCCTGAAGCTTCAAATATTTCTTCTTTTCAATTAAAATTTATTTTTCAAGATGAGGTTTGGTTTAAATTAATTTTATAGTTGGTAGCTTTTCTAGTCTTCGAAAATTTAAATGTTGGGAAGTTAAAAATTAATTTAAAGTTTGATTCCTTTCTACTCTTTTTTTAAGTTGGTGACCATTCTTTAAACATATTCAATACCTATATTTTTATTTCCTGTGGAGACCATAACAAAAATTCATTTTTCAAGCTTTTCGAACTCTGAGACCTACATATTAACATTCGAATCTATCTATGGTGTTACACGTTATGTTAAACTTAAGATAAAAAATTGAGGTTTTTTGGCAAAAATATCCTAAAATTTCCTGTTAGAAGTTCATAGATTTAAGTTTATAGATACAATTCAAAGAAAAAAATTTTTTGTGGAGTTGAAATTTAATTTTTAAAAAATTTTGGGATATAAAGACAAATCTATTTTTCAATTAAAAGAACTTTTTTTTAATTTTTTAGACAGACAAAGAAAAGGAAAATTTAGACTTACGTTCTCGTTTACTTGTAGAATATTGCCAATTACTTTTTCAAAATGACCAATTATGGGAAATTGGAGCAGATTATTTAATTGCTAGTAATTTAAAGAATTGTAATGAAATGTTAGAAAAAATTATTGGACAATTTAATTGGTTTGGGAATGTTTCTATAGCTGAAAAAATTTTGATAATATGTGAAAAATATGAATTGTGGAATGCTAGGGAGGATATTTTGAAGGCAATAACTATGAAGTAAGGATGTTTTTCTGGGGAGATTTTTTTTAATTTTCTAAACTAGGAGGTGTGGAATCTAATTGAGATTTTTTAATTTTGGATATCCTAGAAAATTTTTTTTAATCCGTCAATCTAAATTAGGTCAGACAGGCAACCTAGATTCATACAGGTTGCCATCGGTTTTTTGCGAGTCTCAAAAATATTTGTTTGTCAGTAGTGGTTAATTGTGAGGGTAATACGAGAAGGTCATACGAGAATCGAGTTCGATATCTTGAAAAATCGTTTCAAGTTTTATCCGGAACCTCGTCTTGGTCCATCTCTAACCGTTAATGCCAATTTCCGAATTTTACCCGCCACTTTTCTTTTCTAATTTTCTTTTAAAATTTTAAAGATATTGTCATTTAAATGAATGGTCTACCGCACTTAATTGGGCTCTTCGTATGCAAAATCGAAATTCTTTATCTGCCCATGTCGCTAAACGAATACTTCAAGGAGCCATTCCTTCCTCTAAAATTGGACAAATGCGAATATTTGAATCTATGGCTGACCAATTTGTTGATTGTTCTGAACTTGTTTTGCTTTACAAATTTTATACGTTTAAAAGACGTTTATGTGAAGGAAATTTACGTCAAGCTATTCAATTATTACACGAATTATTTATTGATAATTCTTCTCCAATTGAATTTCATGTGACTTTGGCTGAAGAAACTGCTCGTTTATTAAATGCTTTTCAGCAGGAATTACTTTCGACTGAACCTTTTGACCCATCTACTGTGAGGGAGTTTTTTTAGAGAGAAATTGGGACTTGGGGATCGATTGTAATCTCAAAAGTCTTGGTTCCTGATAGCTGATTTAACAATAGTTTTGTCCAAATCTTTAGTTTATATTTGTGGGTTTAATAAGGAATCTTGATCTTCTCCCTATAGCTTAGATCTTGGGGTCAATATTTGTTCCGTTTAATTTAAGTTTTACCCTTTTTTGTCGTTAGTTTTCCCAGGAATGGAGGACACCTTAATTTAAGAAATGGAGGACACCTTAATTTAACTTAATTTTTTTCAACACGAATGAATACTGATGTCTGACTATCAATTTTTATTTTTTTCAGAGAATTACTGGATTAGATAAAGAATCAATTCAAGACATGTTTAGAGCTTTAAGTATGTTTCAACTTCAACAAAATTTATTAGAAAGTGCTTCTATTGGTGAAAAAGAATCACAACAACAATCATCAAAGCAACAAAAATCTTCTTCATTACTTTTTTCTGATTCATCATTACCTTCTTTAGAAGTTTATAAAAAATTGGAAGATTTAATCCAAACACTTAGACCTATGTTGGCAGAATTATTAGCTTTGAGTTGCTTGACTTGAGAATTTTAAAGAAATGAGGAATTAATTTTTTTTGACATTATATTAGAAGAGTATTGGAGATCTCTCTCTGTTTTTTAATATTTAATTTTGCTGATTTGTTGTAATTTATTTTATATTTATTATAAAATTAATTAAAGCAGTTAAAATTTGTGTGTAGGGTGGTGACCCAAAAGTGACCGGATTAATAATTCTGATTTTATTAAATTCTGATTAATTTATAGGTAGTTATGACTAGGATTCTGAAATACAAAATACATTTAATGAAGTTCTGTATTTTTGTATTTTAAATTATTAAAATAATAAATCAGAAAATATAAAATACAGAAATCAGAATTTTAATTTAAAAAATTATTTTTTTTCTCTTTTTTATTTCCAAAGTCTATAAATACCAACAATCGAAGCTATAAGAAAAATTAAAGAATTTTGGGAAGAATTTAGCTTTCCAGCCCATAAAATTCCTTTAGGAAGAGAATTAACAGCAGCAATAAAATCAGCGATTAATGCAATAAATAAAATAAATTCGTCTTTAATTTGAGAAAATTTTCTTTGAATAATTTTAATAAAAATCTGGCGAATACAACGAGTTATACTTGTAAGTAGTGCAAATATCCAAAGGTGGAGAGATAACTAAAAATAAAATTATATTCTGAAAAATGTGTTTTGATTCCGAAAATGTGTTTTTTGCTTTAAAATAATTTCAGAATTTAAAATGTATTTTATTTCTGATTTTATGTATTTTGCGTGTGTGTGTGTGTGTGTATTTAATTCTGAAAATTTAAAATTCTGATTTTAAATGAAAATGTGTTTTTGCTGTGTTTTGCTTATTTTAAAATGTATTTTCTGATTTTAATCTTATTAATTCTGATTTTAAATTCTGAAAATGTGTTTTGTTTTCACCTGGAAACATTTTGCAGAATTTCTTCCCAAAATTTTTGCCTCGGATAACCAACCAATTGTTTCTGTCCATCCACAAAATAAATATAGAAGGGTAGTTGATGTGTTAAAGAATGTTTCGATTTTGTCGGTTGAATTGTGCCAATTTTGGGGAATTTTAATTGCCGAGAAAATGAGTGACGGTTGGGAGAATAGACGATACTGTGAATAAAAAATCAGAATTATAAAAGAAAAATACAAAATCAGAATTAAAAATCAGAAAGGCAAGAGTTAGACTAAATACAAAAACCAGAATAAATGAAGACACAAAAATACAAAAATCAGAATTATAAAACAAAAAGAAAAATACAAAAAATCAGAATTATACAGAAAACACAAAGAAAATACAAAAAAATACAGAACCAGAATTAAATAAAAAATCAGAATTATACAGAAAATACAAAAAAAATACAAAAATCAGAATTATAAAATAAAAGAAAAATACAAAAAATCAGAATTTCAGTAAAATTTAATTAAAAACACAAAAAATACAAACCACTAGACGAGCTCTACTCAATTGTTTAGCAAAAGCAGCAAGTTTCTCCCCTTTCTGCCTATCACGAATTCTGGTTGAGATCAATGCCAATGAACAATAAAGAGTTCTTTTAAGTTGAAAATCTTTTTTGTTTTAATTTTAAATTAAAAATTTATTTTTTTTTATTTCTTGCCAACCTAATAGCTTTATCCCTCCCTGTGTATGTGTCCAATAAAGAAATTAATTGTTCAAAAAATAATTTTTTATTTTCCATTTTTAATAAAAATATTTTTATTGATTTAATAAAGACGATAAAAGAGTGAGAAAATAAACGAAAAAATTATTAACGAAAAAGGGGAACGATTTAGATAAAAAAAAATATTGATAAATTAATTGTAATTAAATGAAATACATAAGTTACACATTAAATTCTGAATAACCCTTCTTGTGTTTTTAAATGTCTTAATTAAATTCTGATTTACTATGTGTTTTTTGTTCCCAAAATTCTGATTTTTATTAAAATTCTGATTTATTCACAAATTCTGATTTTTTAATTAAATTCTGACTTTTAATTCTGATTTACTATCTAATTCTGTTTGTATTTATCGGTAAAATTCAATTTCGTACCCCCCCCTCCTATTTTCCTTCTTCAAAGTATTATAAAATGGTCAGTCAGACTAGATTATAGAACTCGTCGAGCTGTGTCGAAGGACACCAAAATCAAAAAAATTGGACTCGATTTGACCGCAATACAGACCCCTGAAAATTGAACAACCATAGGGGCGAAAACCCATAAGGACGAAAATTTATACAAATGATAGCTCATTCGAAAGAGCTCGTCGAGCTGAGTCGAATGACACCAAAATCAACGTGATGGGACAAGATTTGACCAAGTTATGACATAAAGTCGCCGACTCCGTTAGGTCTACATAATGTCATAACTTTGTCAAACCATGTCTTTCGACTCAGCTGACGAGCTCTTTCGAATGAGCTATAAAATTTTTTATTTCAAAAAATCGCCCCTATGGTTGTTCAATTTTCAGGGATCTGTATTTCGGTCAAATCGAGTCCAATTTTTTTGATGTCCTTCGACATAGCTCGACGAGTTCTATAGTTCGCTTTCCTGTTATAGGACATTAAATTTTGATGTTTTTTTCCATAAATAACTTATTTTATAATTTTGATTTTGTTTTAAAAATTATTAAATTTTTACAAGGAGAAATTAGCACCTTTTCTCTCTCCAAAATTCTTAAAATTTCTCGTTTGACTAAAAAATGTTTAATTTTTTCGCTCATCCCTTCCGAAATTCTCAAAATTTAGCCTGCGGCGCTGAAAAAGAAGAAATTTGGTTCTTTAGCCGTCCATAATTCTATAAATTTTCGCCTGCGGCGCTGTAAATAGAAATAGAATGTTACATCCTTGATAGGTAATATCGAGGGATTGAGTGGTGTAAGGAAAATATCAAAGATTAATATCTGGGGATTTGCAGTGAAATTGTGGATGTCGATGAATCAGGATTTATATTTATATCGGTGATTTGATATCTATGGATCTGTTAGGATTAAGGATAATTCGAAGAAATTCTGGGATCAAAGGGGATATATAATTGGTAGGATATTGAGGATATCATGGGATTTGGGTAGTTCTGTTCGGGTTTTCGGTTCAGTTTTGGTTAACCGAAAGTTTCGATTCGGTTAGACGTTTCGGTTAACAGAAGGATTTGGTGAAACTGACAACCTTACTTAAAATACAAATTTTTTTAATTTGCTAGAAAATTTTTTTAAAGTTCCGGTTCCGGTTCCGGTTCCGGGCCGGAACTTAGAAAAGTTCCGGTACCGGTTCCGGGAACCGGAACTCAAATTGGATCCGGTTCCGGTCAAAATTTCGGTTCCGGTGAAACCCTAGTAAATACACGAAGAAAGACCAAAATATACAAAATTTCTTAAGACTAACTATGCAAAAAAAGGCTAAACCTTTATCAAAAAAGTTTAATTTAAGAAAAAAAATGTTACAAAAATAAATTAATTTGTTTGCTCAAAATTACAAATTAAACAGTTCGATTTCATAATTTAATTTCAATTCTCATCATTCAAATTCAGTCATTATTTCTGATTTTTAAAAATTCCTTCTATTTTGTATTTTTTAATGATTTCATATGGAACATCTTGAGGAAACCAAGAATCTTTTCGATGCCGATAATTGTCTTTAGACCGATCACGTTGATAAAAAAGCATATAAGAATTAGACGATCCGAAAATTTTCTTTCTCTGAGATTCTCGGTAAAGTACTTTAACTTCATTATCATCAAATAAACGCCATTCACCACTAATAAATTTTCGAGTAGCTGCTGTGTAATGACCTTTAAATTAATTTTATTGTAACCTAGTTTAAATAATTGGAGATGTGAGCAGTCGAATTTTTGGAAAAGATTTTAGGGTGCCTGTGGAGAGCAGGGGTATCCGCAATTGCGTAATTTGCGAACTGAAGGCGGAGAGGTGGGGGAAGCATAAATCAATTCACTCAAATCACACTTCTGAAAAATCATGGAGCCCGATCTTGATAGCAAAATTTCTGTGTAATTTAATATGACTGACCAGAGTTTAATTGATTTCCATGATGAAAAATAACACAAGACAAATCATATTTAATATTTTTATATCTTCCATCAAAAAACCACGATAATTTAGTAAACTCTAAAGGAACATCAATATTCTTAACATTCTTTTTTGTACCCTTCTCAGACTAAATATTTTAAAATTGACTCTGTTCAAAAAAATTAGATTGCCTGATCAAAACGATTTATATAGAAAACAAGAATATCAGGTTCATGATCCAATTCAGTTTGCACTGATCGAGAAGTTTTGTAACATTTTGGACATTCCCAGGATGATTGTATATATTCTATTTTTAAATTAAAATTTAAATTTTTTGTTTTTAACTATTACCAAATTCATTAAAATCATCATATATCATATCGCGTAATTTAACAGGTTTAGATTCATAATTAAAATAATTAAGTAAAGAATAATTTTCAATTATTTGTTCTTTCATAGACTTTGTTTCAAATTCTTCTTTTAAAGACAAATCCCATTCAACAATTATTTGAAGTACTTTTTTAACATTTTCTTTTTCGTTTAAAATACTAAAAGAATTAATTGAATTATAAAATATTTAATAATCGGCTGTATATTTAATAATATTGGCTGCTGAGTAGAATGATCGGTTCGATTTGGAGATTCTGAGCAGAATTATAAAGCTAAATCCTCGATGGACATGCTTTTTCTGATGTTGAAAGGGATTAAAACAAATGCTCATAACTATGCTTATTTAAGTCGGATTTCGATGAATTTAGTACCGTTCGACTCAGCTTGAAGAGCTCTTTCGAACGATATATAATTTGCCATAAAAAGTTTAAAAAATCGAAAAAAATAAAAAGGAAAAAAGGGGGGACCAGCCTTGGAATTGCCCCAAACGATTCCACTCGTCAAGATAAGATTTTTTTATAGTTATTCTGATATTTTTCGATAATTTTATGTGGTTAATAAACTTAACCTGTTAACATATTCATTAAAAAGTGGTTTCTCAATTATAGGGTCAATTCTAGCATAAGCTCCATCAGAATTTTGCAAAAAAAGTGTAAAACCAGCATCCATCTTGTAGAAAAGTTCAGGAAGAAGAAAAGCTCCCTCCTTCATTATTTCAAAGCTTAAATGCCCACAACCTAAATCTCTATTTAAAATTGTAATGTAAGGCTCTCCGAAGCTGCAAAAAAAATTTTTCAGATTTTATATTTTTTTAATTTTACATTTTTCCATTTGGAACACTTCCAAATACAAAATAAACAACAGAAATTATTAAATTATTTTGTAGAAGTTGTTCCTTAATTTCTCCAGGTATTTGAAGAATAATTAAATCATTTTCACTATAAGAGCATGAATCCTCTGGATATAAATATAATTGACCATTTTGTTTAATTTTGCATGCAACCATCTAAAAATATAAAATTTGTTCTATTTTAAATTATAAATTCAATTCAATTCAATTTATACGTAAAAACGTGACATTCAGATAAAAATAAAATGAAATGTAAATATAATTTAAATCAAAAGTTTTGTATAAGGTCTGGAGACAATAGAGTGGAATTTGACTTTGATAAAATATTGTTTAGGTTAATATTGTTTAGGAGCTTTGGAAACAATTCGATTGACGATTTTTGTAATTCTATTGGAAGTTTTTTGTAAATGTTTGGTATGTCTATAAAAAATGAATTTTTCCGAATGGTGCTTGAACAAAAGGGTATAAATAAATTATGCGGATTACCTCTGGTAGTGGTGGGTAGGATGCTATATGTATTATCGTGTTTTAGATTAATTTTACCTAAAATAATATTATGGAAAAGGATGAGATTTGATTTTAAACGTCTATGCGATAGAGATTCAAGTTTGAATATGTCAAGGAGTTCTTTATAATTAGGTAATATTGGGCTGTTATTGTGTTTCATAGAGCGTAAGTATATTATTTTTAAGAATTTATGTTGCACATTTTCTAAAGCGTTTATGTCTTTATTTAAATAAGGGTTAATTATAGGAGATCCAAATTCGAGGATAGGTAAGACATATATTTTGAATAGAGTAATTAGGAATTGAGTATTGTTAGTTTTAAGAGATCTTATAAGAGTATAATAAATTCTAGTTGCTTTATTTGTTGTGATTTTAATGTGAGAATCCCATTTTAAGTTGGATGTAAAATAAATGCCAAGATCGCGAATAGGTTCGTTGGGTGGAATGGTTGGTATATTAATGTTTTGTAGAGAATATTGGTGGAAGGGATTTTTAGTCCCTATGTGAAATGAACTGCATTTGCTGACAGCGATTTTAAGGCCATTTATTTCGCAGTATTTTGAGAATGTTTGGATAAATGTTTGGAGTGGAGAGTAGTGATTTTTGTTTAGGAAGTCAAAGCAGGTATAGGCCTTTAAATCGTCAGCAAATAGTTTTGGAGTAACTTTGTCTGTTTTACAAAAATCAATTATATCCGAAATATATGAGATGAATAAGATTGGGCCTAGGATGGACCCTTGAGGGACTCCGCTTGTTATAGGATATTCATTAGAATTTTTTGATTCGACAAGAACTGTAAATGTTCGATTTAACAGATAGTCCTTAATCCAATTTAGTAAGGTGCCAGTGATACCTAGATGATAGAGTTTTTTCAGAAGGCGATCGTGGGGAACAGTATCAAACGCTTTTGCAAGGTCGAAGAATATAACGTCAACACATTTCTTATTTTCAATAGCTAATGTGTAGTCGTTATAGGTTTCTAGGAGTTGAGTTATAACTGAATGGTTTTTACGGAAACCATGTTGGCAAGTGGGAAGGTAATTGTTAGTTTCAAGAAATGAGGTTAATTTATTAGAGATAATTCGTTCTAGAATTTTAGAAGTTGGGCATAGAAGAGAAATAGGTCGAAAATCTTTAGGTTCATTAGGGTTACTATTTTTAGGAATAGGGCGGATTATTGACTTTTTCCAAATGGTTGGAATTTTACTTGTCATAATTGACATATTGAATATAATTGTTAGTGGAGTGGTTAATGAGATTGCTGTATTTTTTAAGAAAATGTTGGGGATTCCGTCTGGGGATATGTTATTAACATTGTCAAGTTTGTTTATGATGCTGTAGATTTCCTCTGGATTGATATCAATAAAAGATAAATTATTTTTGTTAGAAGTTTTTATGTCAGAGGAGTCAAAGTTAGAAGAGTTAAAAACAGATTGAAATTGTTTTGCCAGACATTCGGCTTTATCTTTGTCTGAAATGGTAAATTGATCGTTGATGTTGAAGATTGGGATTTTAGTTTTTTTGGATTTAAGGAAGGCCCCTATATACTGAAATCTAGATCGTAGATCGTTGAATTTCGAGATTTCTCTGTTTTTAAAGAAACGAGAAATTTCTTTATCGATTTTTTGTTGCGTGAGAATGTATTTTTCACGGATAGCAGGTTTATTAATATTTTTCCATAAAAGATTTTTATATGAGATCATTTTTTGAATATGATTAGGGAATTTAGAACAATCTTTATTGATCTTTTTTAATGGTATGAAGTTTTGGATTATTTGATGAATGATTTCTAAAAATAAGGTGTATTGGGAATCTACATCAGTGCAATTTAAAAACAAAGTATTCCAGTTTAAACCAATTAGGATATTGTTAATATGATTGTAATCGGCATTGTGGAAGTCAAGGATGAATTCTGGTTCTTTTGGGAAATATTTGAAATTTAAACTAAATTCAATAGTGTTATGATCAGAATTTTTGAAGGGGGCGTTAATGATAATATTTTTTGCAACGCGAGAGGCAGAAGAGGAAAAAAGTAAATCAAGATAATTATCTTTTCTGGTTGGGGAAGAGATTTCTTGAAATAGGTTATAGTTTTCTACAAATTCGATAAATAATTTTTCAGACGGTGATTTGTGGTTGAGAGCTATAGGTATATTTGTCTGCCAGACTAGGTTGGGGAAATTAAAATCACCTACAATTATGTAGTTATGATTAATGGATATTAAGTAACTTAATGTCTCAAGAAATTCTTGGAAGTCATTAAAGTTTTCGTTTGTGGTAGGACGGTAAACAGTTATTATTCGAAATTTGTCGAATTTGGGAGAAAATATGTCTATAGCTACAATGTCGGAATTTTTATTTTTAGGGATTTTAACGGGAGAGAAAGGAATTATATTGTCTACTAAAATACAAGCACCACCGCCCCTAGAACCTCTATCGCATCTAATAATGGAATAAGATGTGGTATGTAAAATTTGGGAGTTATCGATTTTTTTGTTCAACCACGATTCGGAAATACAGATTATTTTAAAGAATTTGGAAATTAAAAGTAATCTTAAGGAATCTAATTTGTTAACTAAGCTCCGGCTATTAAAATAAAGACATTTATAAAAAGGGGAACTCTTTAAAAAATTTTTTAAAACCTTGAATCTTGGACGACCATTTAATGGTTTTTTGTTCTTTCTGTCACATTGACACTCATCTTTTTATTGTATTCATCTCGTTTCTTAGCACGTTCATTTTTTTCAGCTTCCAATTGTTCTCGAGTAAGACTTGGCCTGAGCAACAAACGAGACCATTTATTTTCTTTTTTCATTTCCACTCTGTGTCGTTTCCATTCAGCAAGAGAAATTCGCTGAAATTTTGAAGCCCCAAAGACAATTTTAACTAAACGACAACCTTTAGCAGTTGGGTCATACTTACCCATTCTATACGAAATGAATGGGCTCTCAAACCCCAACAAGTTGAGTACATCTTCAATTGCTGCTTTATCTTCAACAACACGAATTGATGGTGTTGTTGATTTAGATTCTTGTAGACCAATCATAACAATTGAACGGTTGCGTTCTTGTTCGCTTGCTGCTGACTCGTTGTTTTTAAAATTTGTTTCTATTGTTGTTTCAATTGTTTGAATTTTAGATTCAATAGTTGTTAAGGCATTTTTAATTTGAAGAATTTCATTAGAAAATGAAGAAAATTTTGTGTTGTTGTTATCGATTTTTAATTCTAAGGCAGCCAATTTATCGATTATTTGTTGTAATTCAGATTTTGCTGGTGCCATTTCGGCGTATTTAAATAATTTTATCTGAAATCTTAAACTTGGGTATTAAACCTTGGGTATTAAAAACTTGGGTATTAAAAATAAATTTAGATTTTAGTCTACAGTATACATAAATATGATCAAAAACATATTTACAGTCACTTTTTTATTTCTGTCATTATACCTCAGTTACAAAACTGGGTCTACATAAAAGATACCTATGCCCCTTAGAGATCGGTATTTTCTAAAATCCTGGATCTGAATTCTTGATCTGGGTCCACGAAAAATCCAGATCAGAAAAATTCAGGACGACCAAAAAATGCCTGGATCTGGACTCTGGATCAAGGAAAAATCCAGACTGGACCTGGATCCAGACCAATCTGTAATGCCTCTCATATGGTTGAGAATCAATATAAGAAAAATGTCCGGATATCCGAAGGCCTCTACGCCTGTTTCAATAGAATTATGTTTAATTTATTAGACGGTTTAAAATTTTATTAGAAAATATACATATTAAAAACTTTAAAAACAATACATTTTCTGACGAGATATTAACAACTTTCTCTATTTGTTTCATTATATTTTTAACATTTATATAAGATTCAGAAATATCAAAATGAAAACGAGTGATTTTACGTGTTGGATTCATACTAATAAATTTTACAGTAGCTTTAAATGGCCTGAAATATATCTAAAAAATAATTTATGGAAGTAAATTTACGAAGAAAATTTAAGTGGAACAGACAGAAATGGTTCTTCTGATATTTTAACATAATCACAATTTGGAGCAGTACATTTAATTGTTTTTTTAAATTGGCCTCTGTTAAAAATAAAATTTTATAAAATTAATAAACATTTGTATTTAAAGCTTGAAACTATTTAATCTTGAAAAATCTCCATTTCTCAAATTAATAGAAATGTTTAAATAATCGGAATATGTGATTGACGACTAGAGATTGAGTCCAAGAATCCGGAATAAAAAATATTTTTCATCTGCTTGATTGTTTCGACTTTAATTGTTAATTTTTGGTTATATTTCGAAATCAAAAATACAAAATTATTTTGAAAAACTTACTCAAATAATTTCAAAAAAGTAGATTTTTTATTTTCCTTGCTTTTTTCATAGACTGAATATATTTTTTCTCTGCAAGATCCATATGCGTTTCTTTCCGAATACTTGTATTTTGTGTATTCATAACTCTCCAAAAAATCCAAAAACTCTCGATCAAGTTTGTTTAATAACCAGAGCAAACATTCATGAGGATCCTATTTAGTAAATAAATTTAAAAATAGTTAATTATGGCACAAAGATCTTCATGATTTTATGGAAGATATTATATTTAAACGAATAGAAAATAAGAAATATTAGGGTACCAAATACTACCAATTATTAACCCCCCCCCGTTCTCGGTTAATTCCAATTCGATTTTTAATTTTAGTCAGATACCGGTTTTATTTTTGGGGGATTTTATTGAAAATCACTCATTTTCATATATTTCCGGTTTTTAAAATTTCAAAAAAATGGTTAATTTTAGGTCACAAAAATTACGGTTTCAAAACCGATTGTCTAACCCTAGTAAATATCATAAAATTTAAACTGTCGATTTTTGATTCCAGGATTTTTTTCCTATTTTTTCAATCTTGTCTTTAAATCCTATTTTTTTTATTTTGTAATATTCCTTAAATCCTGTATACTTTATGAATGGAAAAATTTTTTAAAAATAAAAAAATAAATTATTTAAAAAACATTTTGAGTGCCAAGACTAAATGATGAATTTTCATTTGCAACAGAACTAATAGTTTTATGGCAGTAAGTGTCAACAGAAGGGTTATTGAACCAAATGCAGCGAATTGTATCAACAAATGAGTTGAAAATAATATTCTTAAAGCCAAAAAATTTATATTTTGATTAAAAATTATTCTTGCGATATCCACAACTAGTTGAAGAAAGGAAAACATCTTAATTAGGTATGGCCTAGTTGGTAAACTACAGACATCGGGGGCTTGGGATAACCTTAGTTAAATCTAGAAATCGGAAAAAATCTCCGTTAATTTCTGCATAAAAATTTAAATTATCGGAAACAGATATTTTTTAGGATCTTGATTCTCGACTCAGCTCGAAGTGCTCTTTCGAATGTATATAAAAGTTCATAAAAATTTCGTGGAGAATGTAAAAAAAAATAGAACATAAAAAAGGGGGGCGACAACCGAAGAATTACCCCTTCATCTCAATAGTCAAACATTTTCTGTTCCTAATTTCGAAATACAGTTTTTGTTTGCAAAATTCATTTCACCTTTTCATATTCCACAAAATCATTACAAAGAAAAATTTCAGCAAAACGGTCACAACCAGCCAGGCACTGCATTAAAGCATTAAAATAATCTGTATTTCCATGATTTTTTAGTCCTAATAAATTTAAATTAAATAAATATATGCTAATATATTTATAGCTATAAATATCTTCAAATTGTGAAATTAAATTTTAATTTATAAAAAGTAACATAAAAATTGTTTTTAATGTTTAAACGGCATTTTAACTGTGCGGGATCTGTCCCGTAACCGATCCGTTTTACCGTATTTATTCTAATATAAGCACATTTATATTAGAAGCCCATTTTTAATATAAGCCCATCCGAGGAGACTCGTGGAAAAATATTAGCTCAGGGCTTATATTAGATTAAATACGGTAATTATTGTAGGCGCAGAGGGTTCGAGAACCTTTTTAAAGTTAAAGTTAAATTCTTTAAAATCTTAAAAAATAAATTAACAATTTAGTTAAGACGCACAAAGTGAATCATTAAATGTGTAAAATTTGATCCATAATTTCATTAAATAGAAGGGAGGTGTGGCAAAAATGAATGATATTCTTTATTAAAAATGTTTGAGAAAATAACATTTAATTTGAACGAAATTTTGCCTTAAATTACTCCACAAAGGAAAATTAGTCTAAGGATGGCATTAATAAATATGGGAATTTAGTAAAAGGCAATGAAAGTATATTTTGAAAATTTGAAAATTTAAATTTTTTGTTTATGTAATCAAAACTTATTTTTAATTTCGATTAAATATTTGTCTCTTATCCAGTTAATAATAATCCCTTTCACTGTTAATCTGATCATCATGGTTGATTTTTTCTGATCATCAAAAAAAATTGTATTAGAATATGGATGAAAATCTTCAAAATAGGGATGAAAATATGGGAAAATTCAAAATTCAGATTTAAACAACAAAAACACATTTTTAACAATTAATTAAAATTATAGGGAATTAATTTAAATACCCGAAAAATAATTTAAAAATTTATTTTAAAAATATAAAAAAATTTCAATTAACCCAAAAAATAATAAAAAATATAAAAAAATAAAATAAAAATTAATTTATCACAAAATTCCCCCCTCTTCACTCCAGCATTCTTCTCAGAATGTCGTCGTTGATGGGAGGGGGGTTCAAAAAGCTCGTTATCTTCAAATTCTTTTTGGGAAGGATTTTGATGTCTTAAATTGTGCATAGGGGGAGATTGTTGATTAAAAGTTTGGTTTGGAGTAGAAAGTGTGGTTGAGGTTATTAAAAATGTTGGGGGAGAAGGAGGAGGTAATACCCAACGACAGCCAGCAGAGGCAGGGGAATAATACAATAAAGCCTTAAATGCTTGTTCTCGTCCACAATAATTTTCTGATAACCACTGAAAAAAATATTCTGATTTTTATTTTGTATTTTTTTGTGTTTTTGTGTTTTTAATAGAGTCAATATTCTGATTTTTGTATTTATTTTTGTATTTATTTTATAATTCTGATTTTTGTATTTTGTCTCCAATATTTGTATTTCTGATTTTAAAAAATTCTGATTTTTACATTGTATTTTCTAAAATAAAAAGGATTCTGATTTTCGAATTTCTGATTACACCAATAATTTTTGATTTTTTAATATTCTGATTATATTTTTTCTGATTTAAAATATTTACAGTTGTATTTTCTTTATATTATTCTGATTTTTGAACCAGAATTTAATTAATTTACTTGTTCCTCAGCAGGAGAATTAACCAACCACTGTATTTCACAAGAACAATAAAGTGTGTTTTCGGTAAATAAGAAACGTTGGGCTTCGTTGCGTAAACAATCGGGGGATGACAGAGGTTCTCGAATCTTTAAATAATATTTTTAAATTCTGATTTTAACAAAATTCTGATTTTGTGTTTTTGTTTCAGAATTCTGGTTGTAAAATTAAAAATTCTGATTTTTAACGGAATTCTGATTTTCTTTAAAATTGATGGTATTTCTGGTCATTAATTAATTCTGGTTTTTGTGTTTTTATTTCTGATTTTTAAAATTAAAAATTCTGATTTAATATTATGTATTACAGTATTATAAGTAAAAACAAGAGAGCCCAAATTCTCCGCACCCAACGCCCATCCAGGCACTAATCTACCAATTTGGTTAGATTGAAAATGGACAGAGCCAACAGTAAAAAGGCCAGAAAGAGCCCCTTCAGAAATACGTCCAATACGTGATTCTCTAATTTGTAACTGAAAAAATAATTTTTTTAAATTTTTTCTCTTCCCCTTTTTTTAGTTTAAAAAAAGTAATTTTTGTGTGGCTTTTAAAAAATAATTTTTGTCAAACAAAAAATGGAATTTGATCCGATCAGTTTATTTATTTTATTGTTGTAATAATAATATTTTTATTTAAAAAATAAATATGTTTATAAATGTGAAATATGAATCTTAAAAACATATTTGTTAAAAAATACAAATAATTATTATTTTTGTTATTAGAAAATAATTTTTTAAAAAAGGAGGAAATAAATAATGAAAAATTATGGGTATTCTGATTTTTGGTTTAAATAATTCTGAAAAATGTATTTTTTTAGAAAGGTGTATTTTTGTCTTTGATTCTGATTTTTAATTAATTCTGATTGAGATGTGTTTTGTTTATAATATTGTATTTTATTTAATTATAATTCTGATTATTGTGTTTTTGTTTGAAGATTGTATTTATTTGTATTTCTGATTTTTAATTAATTCTGGTTTGTATTTTTATGTGTTTTAATTATAATTCTGATTTCTTAATTATACTAATTCTGATTTTTAATTTTTGAGTTAATTCTGATTTGTGTTTTATTTGTATTTTGATTGTATTTCTGGGTATTAATTAATTCTGGTTTTTGTGTTTTTATTAATTTAAATATTCTCTCTGTATTTTTTCCTTTACTTGATTTAAATGAGACAATTCAGCAAATCCATCTTTAGGTAACTGACTCAAAGCAGAATCCACAATAATAACTTGATGTAATCTGCTACTATTTAAAAACACTCCAACTTCCAAGGAACAAACACCCCGAAGGGTTAAAAAATCAACTCGAGTAATTGTTGCCAAGGAATTTGTTTCTAATTCAAAACAACGCTCTTCTATTATTAATTCTCGTAAATTCTCCACATTTCTTTGAAAAAATAAATAAAAAAATTTTTTCAAAGAAAAAAAATTACTTAAAGGCAAATGCCCGCACTCTTTCCAAAGCATTATCCATTATTTTAATAGAAAGAGGGTGTTCGTTACCTATACCAGAAAATGCTGTTTTGTATAACTCTCGAAGTCCTTTGTTTCCTTTTAATACTAAAACTCTGAAAATTAAATATAATTAAGTAATTCTGATTTTTGTATTTTCTTTTGTTTATTTTATTAAATGATTAGTATTTTTGCTTAAAATTCTGATTTTAATTCTGATGTTCTGGTTCTGATTTTGAAATTCTGAATTTAAAATCAGAATTTATTAATTCTGTTTTCTGATTTTTTCTAATTTTTATAATTCTGATTTTATAATGCGAAATTTTTGTATTTCAGAATTTTATTTATTCTGAAAATTAAATAATTAAGTTCTGATTTTTGTATTTTCTTTTGTATTTAATTCTGTTTTGTCGTCATTTCGCTTAATTCTGATTTTTGCATTTTTCGGTATTTGTTGTCTATGTATTTAATTTGTATTTTTAATAATTCTGATTTCTTGTATTTCTTTTTCAATTATTTATTCTTTCACCTCAATTTTCTCAATTGTTTAAAAGCATTTCTTTCAATTAAATCAAGTCTTTGACAATCAAAAATGTAAATTTCCACAAGGTGTTGAAAGCGTCTAAAAGCTTGTTTTTCTAAGCTATTAATTGTCCAATTTCGAATATAAAAAATTTCAAAATGTGAAGGCCATGTTGGAGGTATTGTATCTAAATCTAGTCCGGAACAGTCTAACTAGAAAAAATAAATTTTTTGGTCAATAAAAAATATTTTTCCAACAGTTGTAGGCGACTCTGTCGTGCAACTACAACCGTCGGGGCACCACTCCCCCTTAATTTGGACGTTTTCTGAATTTTCTTGAATAGAGGAATTGTTGTAATTAATAAATAAAATAATTAAAAAATAATTTAATTGAAGAAAATATTTATTAAAATAATTTTTGTTGTAAAACTTGACCATCTCTTACGGCGCATGCTCTAATATATTTTATAGAGGATTTTTAAATAAATTCTGAAAATAAATAGGTATAAACTTTAATTCTGATTTTTGTATTTTTAAATAAATTCTGAAAATAAATATAAACTTTAATTCTGATTTATGTATTTTTAAATAAATTCTGATTCTTGTATTTCTATTTAAATAAAAAAATTCTGATTAATAATTCTGATTGTATTTATTTAGGAAATTCTGGTTTTTGTATTTCTTTTCAATAATCATTATTAATTCTGATGTTTGTATTTTTATTTAAATGAAAATTCTGATTAATTTTTTTGGAAGTTCTGATTTTTGTATTTTGTTTTTAATTCTGATTTTTAAATAATCCTTATTAATTCTGATTTTTGTATTTCTGATAGTTCCAAGTTTTATTTCTGATTTTTGTATTTTGTATTTTCATTTAATAATTAATTCTGATTTTAATTATTATTGTATTATTGTTTTTCTGATTTTTTATTTCACTAATAAAAAATAAAATAAAAATCAGAATTTTCTCTCCTATCAAGCTGCGTTGTACTAAGGACAAGAACATTGTAAAAAATATTTTTTAAAAATTCTAAAAATAAATTTATTACTTTTAAAATTTAAAAATAGAAAGATTAAAAATCAATCATTTTTAAATGTCACTTTTGCGGCTAGCAAAGAAAAAAATTTTTTTGTTAAAAATATTTAAAGACGAAGGGTAATAATCATCGCCTCAAGAGGGTAAAAAGGGTGGCTTTTTAAATAATTTTTTTTTTATTTTTTTATTAGAAAAGAGAGGGTAAATATGGAAATAATTAGAAAGGGAAGAAGATGACATAAAAACAAAAAAAAAAGAAAATTAAATGGTTTGTTGTTGTTAAGAGGTGAAAATTGGCATTTTTGAGAGTGAAGTATGAATAAATAGTATATTTTTAACTCTTTTTGTGTGAGGAAATCTGTTGTTGAAAAAATAAAGGGGAAAGAGTGCCCGCAAAAAAAGGGAGACAAAAAATAAAAATAAAAAAATAATTTTTTAAGGAACCTTATTTAAGTCGAGACTCAGCGGGGAATGATGACTTTTTCTGTTAGAATAATAAACAAACTATTTAAAAAAAATTAAAAAGAATATTTTTTTAAAAAACGGACATTTTTTGAGAAAATTATTTTTAAAAGAAAATTTTGGGAATAAATTGTATGTATTTTTTAGATTTAGAGGTGGAATTCATAAAATTAGGGAAAATTGATAAAAGTAATTTTCTAATCTCTAAGAGAGTCTCAGCTCGTGATATAAAAGTTTTGGGACATCTCAAAATGTATGATTGTATAGATAAAGATCTGGATTCGAGATAAGTCAGAAGGGCGGGAAATGGAGGAAAGGGTGATTTTGTTAGTCCAGGGCTCTCATTCGTGCTTTATTTGAAAGTATTATACTTTGAAACCGACCTCCATACTTAAGAAATTGAATTTATACTTTATTGAAAGTATATACTTTAAAATCAACATTTTGGATTGAAAATGAAATTGGGGAAGGGATTGGGCAAAAAAGTGAATTTTTTTAGCCTTGGGCCTTCGAAATTATCAAAATTTTCGCCTGCGGCGCTGAAAAAGAAAGAAATCTGGCTTCTTGGGCTCCAAATTTCAAAAAATTTTCGCCTGCGGCGCTGAAAATGGGAGAAATCTGACTACTTGGGCTCCAAATTTCAAAAAATTTTCGCCTGCGGCGCTGAAAATGGACGAAAGCTTGAGGTTAAGACTGTCAGGGCTTTATTTCTTGTATCAGCGAATTTTGACATGTCATGCGTTGAAATGCACAAAATGCCCAATGGAAGCAAGAAATTATTAGAAAAGATTCATTTAAGAGAGAAATATAAAAGATTTGAGCACGAACAAATATTTTCCAATTTAATTTTGAGTATACTTTAAATTTGGAAATTTTCTCCCTATATACTTTTTTATCAAGATTTTGATACTTTTGAGTGGCATTTTGTCGATGAGAGCCCTGTGTTAGTCAAAGCTTGCTTTGTTGGCCTGGACGTTTTTCTAATTACCTATATTGGGAGGGTGGTGGGTTCGAACCCGCATGGGAAAATTAACTTTTTTCAATTTTTAAAAATAAAAGTAGACCGTTTAGAATAATTTTACAGTAATTTTAAACTCAGTTCATTTTATTAAATTAGAAAAAACGATTTTAGGCATGTCGATAAACGATATTTTACTACCCAATTAATACCTTACTTTCTAGGCAAAAATAAAAATAAAGGAAATGCTTGAAGGAGGATATATTGAGAATAAAAAAGAAAAAGGGTTTTATTTATTTATGTGAGAAATAAATAAACCTAAGTTTTATAGAGAGAACATGCTTTTAAAAAGCTTTAAAAAGCTTAGGGGAGGAGCTCTCTAAAAATATATATTTTATTTATTTTTAATCTAACACATAAAAGATTTAAAAAGAAAGAAAAATAGCCAACTGATGAAAATAAAAATTATAACCGATTTGTGGACAACAACAAAGTTATATTTATTTTAAAGCTAGGTATAAATAATAATTTAATAAAAAATTAAATTAAATTGTAGGGTTGTTGTAGGTTCTTTATTTAAATAGTTCCCGTAGTGTTCAATAATTTTTCGATCCTCGCTCATTCTCACATATAAAATAATTTGACCAAAATATAAATCGGAAAATTTGGTATGCAAGTTTACTAAAAATGAGACTTTTTCCTGAACACATTTAAAAAAAATTTAAAAATAAATATTTATCAAAAAAGTCAAATTAAAGCAAATTTTGGTAAAAGTTGACTTCCATTTGCATCCTCCCACTTTTTTTATTTTTCATCTCCCCCATGTTTTTTAAGTTTTCCCGAAATTCCCCTCTATTTACCGAGGATACATGATTCAAATTATTTACATGATCCTATGACGGGGGTCACCAGCTTCAGCAATGGGACCTATTCCAACGTTGGATGGGTGTATTACTACTAAAATTAACCCACAATCTTTTTTGGAAATAGACTTTTACCCAGATTTTTCAATAAATTAAACTACATATATCCTAACAATTAAGTCTCTATAAATAAATTTATCTCAATTAATTCTCTTAATTACAGCCTTAAATGCTACCGAGTAATTATCATCCCCAAGATCTTTCACATTAAATTCGTTCTCTTCAGGTTCTTTAATTGTTACAGAAAATTTAATTTTTGGATTGTGTTTATTTGAAAGTTGAAATTTTGTAGTTTTACTAGCCTCATCAATTCTGATATTTTTTTCTGTTTCACTTGGAATTCGAGGTTCACACATATATTTAAATTTAATTTGTTTCACCATTTTAGTAACATCTTGTGCCGTTTCTATATGCTAAACTCAAATAAATTAATTTATTTTAAATATAATTTTTCTATAGATTTCTTTTTCAAAAAAGGGAACCTACTCCAATATACTCACGATAAACTAAAGACCGGACTTGAGTGTCGTACGAGAATCAAGATCTCGAAAAATTATCGATATCGAAAATCCGAGATTTTCGATCGAGATCTGGTCGCGGACCCTACTTTAAATATAAATTATACAAATCCAAAAGATATCCGGAAAGAGTGATAAGATAATTTGACCATTTTGAGCCCAAACAATTTTTTATCGAAAACAAATTGCCCAGAAAATATACAAAAAATTTCATATATTTTTTGTTCCTGCCCTAGCTTGCCATAATAGAATAACAAAAACAAACCTTTATAATAAGATTGTAAAGTTTACCGGCAACACAATCATAAGTAATATTTGAAAATTTATTTTCTTCTTCTGTCAAAAGTTTCAAATAAAAGTCCATATTATCTCTCTCTTGATAGACACAAGCACGTACAGTTAATTTATTAGTATACAAATAATTCCCAGTAAAGTTTAAAAAATGATCAAACATCATTGCATTTTGAGAATGTATTTGTAAAGGTATATTATTTGTTTTATCAAACAATACTTCAATAATTTGTGGATTAATTAGAATACAAAAAATTTCAAAATATTCGAAAGCACAGTTAAAAAGTAGTTGGAATACAAAGCGAGCAATTGCCATTTCCTTCATATTTTTTGGAAACTTTGGTAATTGTAAATAGTAAAAGTCTGAATAAAATTATGATTAAAATTATTTAAAAAAATTAAAATTATTTTTTCGATCATTATAAACGCAATAAAAAACACCGAAGTTAAGATTTTCTTTAAATCAAACTTTAAATTTTATTTCCTGAACAGTTTATTTATTTTGAATAATATTGTTCAATCTTTATAAAAAACCCTAATTTTCAAACAATTTTTAAATTATACCATTATAGTTTTGTTGCAATTCACAAACAACAATGTCTATGTCTTTATAAATAGCCATTGTTAAAAACATTGGAATTGACTCGTCTATCCCTTGTTTCCACTAAAATTTTAGTTTATTTGGTAAAATTGAACTTCATCCCCCCTACTCAATTTCCTCAAAATATTAAAAATGGTCGGACTTAAAATGCGGTATAAACATTACTCTGACTATAAGAACCCTTCAGACTTTTATAATTCCACAATTCTATTTACAATAGATTCAGCCTATTCCAAAAATTTTTTTATAAGAAAAGAAAGCCAAACTCACTCTGAATTATACTATAGTACATTCACAGTATTTGACTATAGGTACTAAAAAACAGAGCTGACAATGTGTAGAAAAAAGAGGATTCAGAATTCAATTTTACCAAAAATTTTAAAAAATTAAAACCTTTTCTTTAAGCTGTTTACTCAATTCAAAATTATAATTATGAGGTTCTATTTCAACAAATTTAAGTTTGCGTTCTACTTTAACAGATTTATTCTTTTCCCATTTAACGTCATAAACAGGACGCTAAAAATAATAATTATTAAAATAAATTTATAAACAAATACAAATTTAAGCTTAGCAAATTTCTTCTTTGCCAATTCTTTCCCATACTTGTCGATGAAATTTTTAAAATAAAAACTTGACTGTTGAAAAGATACTAATTGATTGAAATTTAAACATTTTAATATATCCAGTTGAGTTTCTTGTGGAAAGCTTATTTTTGTAGTCTTATTCTTAATGTCAGCAGGCACTGAATCTTCCTCAATTTGAACCAAACGATACCAACGACGTCCCTAATAGGTTTAATTATTTTTTAAAATTTAAATATAAAAAACCTCTTTATAATATTTAGTCCCTTCGTGTTCCATAATTTTTTGATCCTTGCTCATTCTTATAAAATAATTTGACTAAAATATAAATTAAAAAAATTTAGTCTGTAAATTGTAAAAAATTGGCTGAAAATAATTGTATAATTAATTTAAAAAAACATTTATATATAAAGAAATTATAACTTGAAATTAAATTAATAAAAAAATTTTAAATTCAATTTTATAATGAAAAAATGGAGAAAAAAAAGAATTCCATATAAGAATGAAGCTTTATTAAATAATTTTTGTAATTAAAATTATACACAACAAAATTTGTTTAAAAAAATGTCAAAAAATATTTTAATTTAATCTAAACTAAATTCCCCTACCATTTTCTATCCTTTTATTATCTTCATTATTTTCTTGTTTTTGTAATTCATAATCCTCTTCCCAAAATTCTTCGTCATCCAAATCGGCTATTGGAAAACGCAAAATTGCTGCTACACCTGTCTGAAATTAAAAGGATTTTAATTGAATCGCGACTATGTCCGTGTGGTGTAGTTGGGAATGATTCCGGCTATTGTTGATTAAGTTGAGGGTTCGAATCCAATCGATTGGAATATTTTTTATAGTGCTAGAAAACTCAAGAAACGAAATTTTTTTGAATTTTCTTTAATTTTAAAAAATAAATTTTTAAATTTTAATTATTTTTAACAGAAAAAACACTTAAATGGTAAATATTTTAATAAATATAATTCAAAAAATATCCTAACCAATTGAGTTAATTGTTCTCCTGTTGCATGCAGTGAAGAAAAAATGAGAACATTAGAACCCTTTAAATAAAATTTTTAAAAATTTATTTAAAAAAGACGAAACCTGTTCTTTAATTCTTTCAACTAATTGAACATATTTTCTTCGTTGAGTAATGTCTTTTGAACGAAAAAGAGAATCTGATACCTTTAAAATTTTAAAGAAATTGAATTTTTTTTTGAAATTTTTGAGATTTTTTTGAAAGGCTAAAAACCCAAAAAAACCCCCAATTTTTTAATGAAAAATCCAACCATCAAAGTTTCAATAGATTGCTGTTCACGAGCATAAATTACATGTTTATAACCATAAACAGCCCTTTGTGGATCTGTACACATTAATTCCAAAAATGTGTTGAGTGCTTTAACTTCTGCTTGTGCCTTAAATAAATTTTAAGAAAATTTAAAATAAATAAAAAGAAAACATTTTCCAGAAAAGACAAAACAATATATAAATTTATATTTTTTCCAAAGACACGGGAAGAATTGAAAAAAGGAATAAAACTTCCCAGAAATATAAATATAAAAAACCCCTTCAAAAAATTATAGCGTGTGGAAGCATATTAGTAAATATTTGCTTAATTGTTAGGAATTTATAAACGAAATTTATTGACGAAATTTTATTGACTTTAGACTAGGGTTGTTGGAAACCGTTTTTAAAATCAAAAAATATTTTTTCAAACATTAGCCGTTTTTGTAAAATTTTAAAAACCAAAAATTTTTTAAAATAATTGATTTTCGTAAGAAAAATCCCCACAATAAAACCAGTATTTAACTAAAAACCGATTTAAATTTAAATTAACCTAAACCCTCAGTTTTCAGGTTAATAGTTTTCAGTTTTCAGGTTAATATGCACAAGTAGGCGCGCGGCCATAAAGGCGCAAAGCCATAACTTGCTTGAAAATTACTGACCCTTAGTTATTTTGGTACCAATCTCTTTAGCTCGATTAGAGAAATCATTTAATACTAAATTTGGCAAAATCGGAAATCTTGAAGTAAGTTATGGCCTTGCGCTTACCTGGTTGCCCACTTTAAACGTTTCTTAAAATTAAATTTATAAATACCTACTTTAGTTTCACTCAAACGTTGACTAACAGCAACATCAGAAAGGACTTCATTTAATGAATGCTTAAATAAAAATTTTCAAAAAATTAATTTAAAAAACCTTAAATCCACTCGAAGAATGTACCAAAATAAATTTACTTTTTTGTGGAAAAATTGTTTGTCTAAGCCCTTCTTTCTCTACATATTGCCAAAAGAATTCCATAAATTGTTCTCGTAAAAAGCCTGGACTTGCAATTACTACACATTTTATTTGCTAAAAAATTAAAAAAAAATTATTTTTTTAATAAAATGTAAATGGATCAAGAAATTGAAAAATGATAGAAAAAAGGAAAATCAAAAAATAGCAAAAAAAATAAAAATTGAGACTAGGAGCGTAAAAACAAAAAGCCAATAAAAAAAGGGGGAAAATATAAAGGGGGACTGGGTGGGCGCAAAAATTTTTGGCGTTTACCTTGGCGTTCCGAACGCAAATTTTTTTGAACATAAATTTTCATCACTTCAGCGCCGCAGGCGAAAATTTTTTGAAGTTTAGAAGGCCGTAGGCCAAAAAAGTTCACTTTTTAGCGCCGCAGGCGAAAATTTTGAGGATTTTGGAGCTCAAGAAGCCAGATTTCTTCCATTTTTTGCGCCACAGGCGAAAATTTTTTAAAATTTGTCGGTTATAGGCGAAAAATTTTTACTTTTTCGACCATCCTTCTCCTAATTTTTTCCCCCTTTCCCCATTTCGGGGGGGGGGGGGGGGGGGGCTCTAGCCCCCCCCCCCCAGCCCCCCCTGGATACGCCCTTGCCTAATACGATTTTAGAACAGAGGGGTCATTTTAGCAATCCCAATTCAATAAGTCAAATAAAGTTTTTTGAGAATCCGGGTATTTTTGTTTAGGTTTTCAATTAAAACCCCAAAAAAATTTAATTTAAAAAAAATAAAAAAAATATTTGAATACCTCCAAATTAACATGCCGAAGAAAGGCAACAGTTATCGCATTAAAAAACGAATTTAAACTTTTTTCGTGTTGTTGGGAAAGTCCTTTACGTTTCCTAGCAATCTATAAAATAATTAAAATTAAAAATAATAATTAAAAAAAACCTGCATATCAATTTTAGATTTTACAATAGTCATTGAAGAGCTTATTAAACAAATATTGGCAAGACCTTCATGCATAACCTTTAAAAAAATTTTAAAAAATTTTCTAAAAACATTTTTTTCGAAAAAATTGTTACTAACAAAAGGGATGTTAAGGGAATTGGAATGAAAATTTTTTAGATTTTCAAAAAAAAATTTTTATTTCTAGAAAATAATTTAAAAAATTTTAAAAAAAAATCCCTAGTCTTCCAAAAAAACCCCAAAAAAATTTTTTTTACAATTCCAGCAACATCAGCTTTATTAGCAACATCAGCACAAAGTTCCAGCCTGTGTAAATCAATTGCATCCCAACATTGTTTCTCCAAAGTAAAGACTCTGTTTAAAGCTAAATCTAAAGTGTGGTAAGCACCGAGACGAACATGTTGATTTTCTTGGATATTTTTGCCTTTAAAAATTTAAAAAATTTAGAAGAAAAAATTGTAATTCCAAGGCTGGTCCCCCCCTTTTTTTCTGTTCGCCTGACCATTTTGAGATTTTTTGCTTGAAATATAATTTACAATATATCATTCGAAAGAGCTGTTCGAGTTGAGTAGAATGATACTATGATCGGATAGATTTGTCAATTTTGAACCAAATTATGAAGCTAAATCCTCGATGGACATGCTTTTTGTGATGTTTAAAGGGATTAAAACGAATGCTCATAACTATGTTTATTTAAGTCGGATTTTGATGAATTTAGTACCGTTCAACTCAGCTTGAAGAGCTCTTTCGAACGATATATAATTTGCCAAAAAAAGTTTAAGAAATCAAAAAAATAGAAAGGAAAAAGGGGGGGCCAGCCTTGGAATTACCGAAAAAATAAGGGAAAAATAATTTTTAAAACCTTTCAAATGTAAGGAACATACAGTTGCATCAAAATCAATTGTTTCGACCGAAATGGTTAAAATCCTAAAAATTTAAAAAATTAATTACTATTACAAATTAAAGAATAAAATAAGAAATTGTGGTAAACTTTTAAGGTTTGTCATGAAAAATAAGGGAGAACTGAAAGGAAAATGAAAAAATGGTATGAAAAAAGAATAGGGAATACTAACCTAAGAATTACCCCTAAATCTTCCAAAATAGAGAATTCTTTAAAAAATCAAAAAAAATTTTAGAAACAACCCAGACGATTTAATCCTTTTGAGGAGGAAAGAAAATGGATGTATGGAAAAGTACCAAGAAATCATAGAAAGGACAGAAAAAGTCGAAAATTAACTTAATTAACGATTAAACTAGAAACCCATCAAAATACCAATCGCGGTAATATTGAACCGGAGAGGCCTCCTTTTTTCCTCCCCAATTCTTTCCTATATTTTTGCTAAATGGTCAGACTTTTTCCTTTCTTCCATCCAAATTTCCTTTCAAATTTTTGCCTACAATCAAACAAAAAGGATTATTTTTAATATTTTATTTCCCATTTTTCCTCCCCAAATTGGGGGAAAAAGGGGGTCTGTCCGATTCAATATTACCCCAAACCGTTAATTCAACACTTACATTTGAACCCGTTGACTAGTTTTTGACCCAGTTGCCGTTTCGTTGGTTATTTTCCTCATAGTTGAACTTCTAACAACATCACCAATTCTAGAAAAAATAAATAAAACAAAAAAATCAAATTTAAACAAAAACCTAATAAGATTAAAAACGTGCCACATATCCTCATCTTCCTCACAAATTAATCTTACAAAACCTGAAGCATCTTTTTGAAGGCCACGTTTTAGAATCTTCATGTTGACATTAATAAGTCATTTTCTATAATTTTATAAAAATAAAATAAGAAAATCAAACAAGAGCTTAAAATAAAATTTTGTGTGTGACCAAATGAGAAATTTTCTTCTGTGTGACGAAATGGCTTAAAATTAAATTTAACAAAATGAAAATATTTTTTGGAATTTTTAAAATTTTTTGGGGAAGGCTTTGGGTTTGATAAATTTTTTCATTTTTACCCAAAAAATTTATTTTAGTTAAATGTCAAGCTCACCTTCTAGAAGCGAACATTTTAGTTTAAATACTTCCCAATTAACAGAAAGTAATGAGGATGATAATAATAGAGATGTTTTGGAAAGGACGGAGGATGATGAAGATGACAGCTTTCATCCAGAATTGGAAGACGATGAATTAAGTACAGATGCAAGGACGTTAATTGAGGTTTTGAAATTTTAGTGGATTTTTAAGTTAAAAATTATTTTTAAAAATTTTGAAACCGTAAGGTGAATAATTGTCGATTTTCTGGCTTCTTTATCTAGAATTCTTCTCGATTATTCCTTAGCTTCTGAATCGAGCAATTAATTTTTTTTCTATTATTAAAATTTTTCAGTTTTCTCAGCAAATTGCTTCTGCTTCCGAAGCAGGCTGTTCAACTCAAGCAGTTTCTGAAGAACTTGTTGACCTTCAACGTCTTCGTCGTACGCAAAAAATATTCAAAGAATTGCAGTTTAATAACCCTGGAAGACAGCTTGTGGAATCTCTGTCAACTGATGGATTGACTGAATATGCAACTAATAGGCCTAAACGGAACAAAAACAGGAATAGAACGACTAATGAAGGTTTTTTTAGAATTTTTATTGTCGGTCATCCTAACTAGAGGTGTTAAAATCTTCGGAAATCGGAAGGAAAAAAACCTCGAAAATCGAAATTTCGAAACAGCTCTGATACTAACCTGCTCTGTGCAGATTATTTTTGCGGACTCATAATGGTCAGACATTCTTTCCCTCGAATTACTCCTCAATAAGAGCTCCTGATCATATTAGGTAACTCTTATTCCCCGATGGATAGAGAATAGTTCTCTATTTGAAAATTCAGGAGAGCTATTGAAAACATTTTAAAACCCTTAATAACTAAAAACGGACACTTTGACGCAAGGACAACACAAGTCACAATTCTTTCAATTTAAGGCATAAGAGTTGTTGGGCACCATTTATTTTTTCCTATAAATATCAGATTCTCATCTTTGTCTTATTAAAGATTTAAATTCGTCTCTTAACAACTTACTAAAAACGAGCGAAAAATATTTTCACCAAGGGTTTTGCTATAGAAAAAATAAAGGAAGCTCCGATGGTCAGATTATATTTTGGGTGTGTGTTGACAGACGTAATGATTGTAAAGGCAGGGTTTGGACAACATCTTGCGAAAGTAGAAAGTTCATTCGTCTAGTTACAGAGCATAGCTGCACGCTAGGTAGTAACTTATTTTAGAGTGAATTTGATTTTTAGCCTTGCGCCAAAGTGGCGCTGTACCTTTAAATATTCCAAAAATTAAAACTGTCCCTAGCCCAGTCTACCTTATATTTATTAGAATAACTGAATTCATGAAAGTCTGAGCTAGACAATTTTGACATAATTCGACTTTCCTTGACATTTTTACTTTTAGTCAACTCCCATTTAGTTCCATTAATTTACAATTTAGAAAATTTTATTTAGAATCATCAAGGAATACCAACAAATCAAGCAATTATACAGGCAAACTCTTCCACAATCAAAAAGGCCATTTAACTACAAGTCGGGGAGCTGTTGATCTTTGCGATTGTCTCGATTTGGAATGTTCTGGTTGTAATTACCCTGTGGGTATTTTAACGAGTTTTATTTGGGGTAGTTAAGAGTTTTAGGTTGTTTTGGGGGTGTTGATTGTAACAGAACTAGAAAGCCTTTAAGGTTTTTTGAGGGTGGGAAGGGGAGTCTTCTGATTTAAAATTATCTGAATATACTTCCAAGATGTAAGAAAAAATATTTTTTTAGTGTAAGAAATGTGGTTCGCAAAAATGCAGTTATTCTTGCCGAAACAATCGACGCACTTATATTGAAAGTATTGATGAATTGGGATCTGGTAGCACAAAAAATCCGTTTCTTTGATCAACAAGAAAATTGTTAAGTTAATTATTTTATTTTAAATTTTTGAATTTTATTGTTCACTCATTTAGTCAATTTATTGTCCACTTGGAAATGTTTTTTGGAATATAAAAATTAGCTTTTTTTCATTTAAGTAAATTTTAGTGAATACTAATTCACTAATTTAAATTTGAGTTTTTTTTTGGTATCTTTCAATTTGAAAATTATTTCATAACTTTAAGCAAAAAATTCCAAAGAAAAATAAAATGATTTCCAGTCATTAAGCAACAATTTCAAAGTTATCATAAAAAATGATTATATTGGAGTTCTGTTTTAGCAATGTAAATTTAGAGAAGATAACTTAAAAGAAATAACACACAAAAAATAATAGAAAAATACAGAAGCAAATGTAATTGTGTTTTCCGGAAAATTTATAAAATTATTTTTGAAACACAAAATACACAGAATTAAATATACACTGTTTTCCGGAAAGAGAGCGTATACAAAAAATAATAGAAAAATACAGAAGCAAATTTAATTGTGTTTTCCGGAAAATTTATAAAATTATTTTTGAAACACAAAATACAAACAAAAAAACACAAAACACCCCCACACCGTTTTCCGGAAAGAGAGAATGTATTTTGTATAAGTATTCTGAAAAAAATTCTGAAAATATTCTGGTTTTTCAATAGTTTGTGTTTTAAGCACAAAATATGTACCTGTTTAAAAATGTTGTCATTAGTTTATCTTTTTTATGTTTTCTATTAAAAAATTATTGGAAGGGGGAGAGATTATTGTGTTTGCTTCTTATCAATTCGGTGCTGTCTGCTTTCGTTTTACATTCGACCTTAATTTTTTTTATTTTTTTTTATTTGTTACATGTTAAATTAATTTTACAAGGGAGGTTATTATTAATTTTGTAGAATGTCCTTAACTTCGGATAATTCTTTTAATAATGAATATGATTATTCTGACGACATTTATGAGGAGTCTATGTGGTCTACTACAAGCTTTTGTGCTGATCCGCTTTTGGTAGATTTTTTGAAAGTCTTAAAATTTTGGGGAATTGGATCTCTGATAGCAGCGTAATCCCGGAAAGCTCAGAATTTTATGACCTCGTCCTTATAAGGACAAAATTTGGTTCCTACGGATTTGCCCCCATCTCCTCTTCAACGCCCCTGTATTTGTGTTTGTATTTTCCTTGTATTTTTTCTAGACTTATTCTCCAAACTCAACATTCCCTTCAATCAGTAATTGCCTCCAACACGCAATTTTGGATCAACTAGCCCCGTTACTTTTACTTATTTCTTTGCCTATTTTGTGGATTACCTTATCTAATGCTAAAATTGAATATAAAGCAACTAAAGAGGAGGAGGAGGAAGAAGAAGAAATTGGGAGGGCACCTCATAGTGAAATTGAATTAATTAAAAAAGTTTGTACAGGGTGACAAAAAAGTTCGGAGTGGAGTATTTATTTACCATAACATTCTGTAGACTTATTATTTGTAGATAAATTTATACTCATTTTGTAGCCCATTCAATTCTCTATCATTTAACAAAATTTAGCATTATACATTTCGACATAACAAAAGTTATAGGCATAATCGTAAGGCATACCAAAATTTCCTTCACAAAATTTCACTTTCAGTAACTCAAAGTTGAAGAGTCCGATTTGCCTGATTTCAAGAGAATTTAATTAAGCTTATAGGCGACCCAGGTGAATTTTAAATATGAGACCTGTAACTCTTACATGAAGGGCTGTGAGTAGATGTAATTCAGTTTTGGGGGGAAACAAATTTTTTTGTTTAGGGTGGGTTACTTGTAAATAAATATCTCTCTAAACTCTTAGCCTAAAATTTTTTTATTTTATAAGTTTTGAAGATCAGAGACCCCTCTAGCTTCCCCAAAAAATTTAAATCAATAACACAATCCATTCCCAAGTTATAAGTCTTCAACCACAAAAAGCTGTGCAAGTTTGAATCAAAAATCTTAACACACGCGGTCGACCCTGTATCAACGCAGAAGGGTGGAATCTTTTGAACATCTATTAAAATTTATTCCCTATTTAGTCCTCTATTTTATCATATCTATTTTATATCCGTAGAATGTTTTTGATTGAAGTTATGTACATAAATACTTAACTCCGAACTTTATTGTCACCCTGTATTTAAAAAAATATTTTGTGTTTTCCGGAATTTTTAAAAATGATTTCCGGAAAATACATAACAGTAGTTTCTGATATTAAATAATTTTAAAAATACCTTTCCGGAAAAATACTATTACGGTTATTTTATTATTATGATTTTTTAATGTAACATTTAAAAAAACCTATGTGTGTTTTCCGGAAAACATTTCAGAATAAATATATTTGTATTTTACCACCTAAAACTACATTATGTATTTTGTTTCCGGAAAGATTAAATTCTGATTTTCTGAGTTAAATTAAAAGGTTGTGTTTTCCGGAAAAAATCAGAATTATTTGTATTTTACCATTGAAAAGTGCATTATTCTGTTTCCGGAAAAATTCTGATTCTCTAAATTCATTTAGAAAATTTGTGTTTTCCGGAAAATTAAAAACACTTCAGAATATCTTTGTATTTTACTAAAAAATACAATTTAAAGGTTTTGATAGCAGTTTTGGCTGGTTCTCGTTTATTTCTCTTTGTAATAGCCAGTTATGAATTACTTTGGCAAAACAAACCAATTCCTTTAGTTGAATTGTTTTATCCTTTAACACATTTAATTACTTTGGTAAAATATTCTTTTAAAATTTAAAAATAAATTTATTTTCTAGGCTTTTCTTTTTTATTTCACCGAACAATTTCTTCGCCTTTCTTTAGCCCCTCCAGGGCCAATATTTTGTGTTTGGCTATTTTTTGTTTTGACTGGCTTACCTGAACTTTTTAATTTAATTAATTATTGTTTTGGAAATGAATTTTATTTTGTAAAAAAAATTTTTTTATTTAATTAAAAATTATTTAAACTTAATAGTTGTCTACTTGTATAGCCAAACTTGTGTGGTGGCCTTTGTGTTTTTTTCAATTTATTCTTAATTGTTTTTCGACTATTCCAACTGGACAGGTAGTTAATTTTTTTGTTTAAAATTTTACTAAAAAATCATATACCGTAAATCCTTTAAAATAGCCCCAGCCTCTAAAATAATAGCCCCAGTCTAGAGGTCGATCGAAAAAAATAACCCCATGGGATTATTTTAGAGGATTTACGGTACCTAATTTCATCTGTAGTAGCAGTCGGACCTTTCTAAACGGTGTACGGAATTTTGGTCACCGGAATTCTGGTCACCACGCTTTTTCGGAACTTTGGTCACCAATTTTTTTGGAATTTTGGTCACCAGCGGAATTTTGGTCACCAAGTCAAAAAACGGAATATTGGACACTAAAATTTTGGTCACCAAGAGGAATTTTGGTCACCAAACGGAAAAAAATTATCTTATCTAAAACTGATATCAAAGTGTTAAAAAATGATTTTTCATCCCCCAGTTGATCAATTTCAATGTTTATCACTTTGCTGGCTGATCACTCGCCCGGTTGATCACTCTCGATCACTCTACCGGATGATTGATTAACTGGCAGAGTGATCAACATAGAAATTGATCAACTGGGATTTGAAAAACAATATTTTTAACACTTTGATATTAGTTTCAGATAAGATTCTTTTTTCCGTTTGGTGACCAAAATTCCTCATGGTGACTAAATTTTCAGTGTCCAATATTCCGTTTTTTGACTTGGTGACCAAAATTCTGCTGGTGACCAAAATTCCAAAAAAATTGGTGACCAAAGTTCCGAAAAAGCGTGGTGACCAGAATTCCGGTGACCAAAATTCCGGCACCCTTCTAAACTCCCTATATTAGATAACCTATATTTAAGAGATGTTTTCAAATAGTTGGTTGGCCACCAGCACCGTCACCATTTAACCTCCCAAATCCCCTTTGGCATCGATCTAGGGCATCAGACCCGAGCCTTCTTAGTCTATTTAAGATACACCTCATTATAAGCTTCAATATTTTCATCCCCGAGATGTGGCCCAGGCTATAACTAATTTACAAAAAATTTCGGTTTTAATTTTTCCAGTCAAACCAATCACCAGAAGAAAAAGTTTCCTTTCTCAACAACCAATTATTTATTTGGTTTGACCCTCTAGTTAAAATCGGTCATAAAAGACCTATAGTTGAAAAGGATGTTTTCCGTTTGCTTCCGGAAATGGGTGCTAAAAGACTTTTTCGAAGGTGGTGCAAAGAGAGGGAAAAACAACAAATTGGAAAAAGTGGTGGTGGGGAGTTATTTTCATTTCCAAAGAAAATTTCCCCTCTTTAGACTTTAATTATTCAACTTCCCAACTCAACGGCCCATCAAAACAAAGCAAAGAAAATATTCAAAATTACAATGAACGAACCCCTTTATTGCCAACCTTCAAAGAAAAACAACAAAAATTAAAAAACAAAAAACCTTCCTCAATAATTAATTGTTTATGGAATTTATTTAGATGGGAAATTATTGGGGCGATGATTGCTAAATTATTTAGCGATTTATTACAAATTACAACACCTTTACTTTTAGGGTAATTTTAAATTTGTCTAACTTTCCGGAATTCTTTCTCTATTATTTCTATAACTTTCCGGAATTGTCCTTTTAATTTCTCTAACTTTCCGGAATTGACTATGTCATTTTTCTCCCTTTCCGGAATTCTTTTTTTGGTTCTCTAACTTTCCGGATTGTTCTGTATTATTCCTATAATTTTCCGGAATTTTCCTTTTAATTTCTCTCTTTCCGGAATTGTTTCTCTGTTAAATAATTCTTCTTTCCGTAATTTTCTTTTTAGTTTACCTAACCTTCCGGAATGTTTCTCTATCTTTTTCCTAAATTTCCGGAATTGCCTTTTTTCTCTAACTTTTTTCTTTTAAAGCCAGCTAATTTCCTTTACTGAGGATATAAGTTTGCCTACTTGGTGGGGATTTTTATTAGCTGGAGGGCTTTTTCTGGCATCAGAAATGCGATCTCTTCTACAAAATAATTAGTTTGGTTTTATAAAGAATATTTTTTAATTTGAACTTTTTAGTTTTAACATGATGAACAGTATTGGTTGTAAAGTTCAATCTGTTTTGACCTCTGCTGTTTATGCAAAGGTTCTGGCGTATTTTTTATTCTCTTTCATATTCTGTTTGCAAACATTCCTGAAAACGTTTTGTTTGTATTTTTATTTCTGTGGGCTCTCTCCGGAAAAGATTTTCTATAAACATTTACCGGAAAATGTTCTCTGTTTTCTCTAATTCCGGATTTTCTTGTTTGTCTTCAATGAGAGACAAAAACCGGAGCAGACATTTTTGCCGGAGCAGACATTATGCATTTTCTCTCTCTATTTTTAGACCCTCCGTTTATCCAGCAGTGCGCGTCATGGAAGAACTAGCGGAGAAATTGTAAAAAAATTCTTTAAAAAAAATTTAAAAATTAATTTTCTTAAAAAAGGTAAATTTAATGGCAATAGATGTTGATCGTTTTTACCAAGTAATTCCTTTATTACAACAAATTTGGTCCAGTCCTCTTCAAGTTGTTCTCTCTCTCTTTGTTCTTTATCAAGTTATGGGTTGGTCTGTTATTGGAGGTGTTCTATTTATGATTGCTTTAATTCCTTGTAATTTGTGTGTTGTTAGACGTACAAAAATATGGCAGGTGAAATTTTTTTGAAAATTTCAAAAAAAATTTTTTTTTTCCAAAAATTCCACAGATGGATCAGATGACTCTCAAAGATTCAAGACTTCGAATGCTTAATGAAGTAAATTAATTACAGTCTGACCTCATTATGAGATACACCCAAAAACCTCTAGTTAAGAGACCTTTAAATTTGGTTGACTATTAACTGGAGACGATACCCTCTATTTAAGATACACGTCATTATAAGCTACACTTTTTTTGACACAAGAGGGGTATCTTATAGTGAGCTCTGACTGTATTATTCCCTCAGGTTCTTACTGGCATTCGAGCCGTTAAACTTTATGCTTGGGAAGTGCCAATGAAACAAGTAATCGACCAAATACGTGAACACGAGGTTAAATTGATTCGAAAAGCTGCCTTGCTTCGTACTTGTTCTGATGTTCTTAATTTGACTTCTCCTTACTTTGTAATTTTTTTATTTTTTTTTATTTTATATTTAGGTTTAATTGGAGGGAAGTTCATTTAAGTTCAAATAACAGGGCCTAAACCGGAAAATATTTTGTAGCAGTCCTAATTGTAAGCTTAATTGTAAGCAGTCCTACTATTTATATGAGCCTTTTTATTCCAGAAAACTCAGATTTTTTGGTTTCACGGCCTAGGTGAGACAGGCGACCACATTCTGTCATTTCTCACCGATTCCCTCTTCTTTGGTTCCTTTTGTCTTTTTAAATTCAATTTTGTTTTGATTTCCCACAACTTTTCAGGTATCAATAATAACCTTTGCTCTCTATATTTTCTCTGATCCAGTCCACAATATTTTAACCCCAGAAGTTGCTTTTGTATCTTTAACTTTATTTTCTCAATTACGCATTCCAATGATGGTTTTGGCCGAATTAATTGGACAATTAGTACAAACGGCTGTTTCAAATCGAAGACTAAAACATTTTTTGGTAGCTGGTGAAATTGATCCTGAAGCTGTTGAAAGGGATTTGGATCCACAATGTGAGAGTTTTAAATACAGTCGGGCATCTCTTTGTCGGGTACAAAGAGATGCCCGACTGATGCCTGACTCATTAGTAGACCTCAATTCGTTTAGAGTTGGTTCCTGATTTCTCTGACCCCGTTTCATTAGAAAGGGGAAATGTCTAGGCGATACCCCTCTATTTAAGATACAGCTCAATAAGCTGCAATATTTTTAGCCCCAGCGTGTAGTATTTTTTCATTCTAAAATGTGAGGTCCGATTGTATTATTTTTAAAAATATTTCTTAATTGAAAGGGCTTTAAAATGATAAAACTTTAAACATCTTTTTCCTGCTTTTTTAAATTTTAAATGAAATTCCTAGACAAAACTCTAAGGAATCTTGACAAAGAATAATACTAATCTAAAATTTTAACTTGTTATCTCTTCCTATTCTTAAATCACCTTTAAATCCTTAAAAAAATTTCTTTTCCTCTAAAACCCTCCCTCCTTATTTAGATGAAAGAGCAATAGATGTTGAATTTGCCTCTTTTGATTGGAAAACAAAAACAAAAAAATTAGTAAAAACACATTCTCACCTCCCTCCCGGTCACCAACATTTAATACGTGGATCAACAACAAATATTTGTATTCCCTACTCTTTAAATAACCTCGAACTTCATTTACGTCGAGGTTTGTTGGTTGCTGTTGTTGGAAGAGTTGGGGCTGGGAAAACTTCCCTTTTACATGCTTTACTGGGAGAAATGAATAAAGTTTGTGTTTTTAATAGAAAATACAAAATAAAAATGTATTTTTAAAGGTTTACGGATTTGTGGGCCTTCGTGGGCGTGCGGCTTATGTGCCGCAACAGGTAAATTAAAATAGAAGAAACATTTCTGGAAAATAAATTTAATTTTAATATTTTCCGGAAAATACATTGCTCTTTATATTTTCCGGAAAAATGTTTTTGCTTAATATTTCCTTCCGGAAAAATACATCTTACAATAGTACTTGCTTGTCTTTCCGGAAAATACATTATTCTTTACATTTTCCGGAAAATACATTGCTCTTTATATTTTCCGGAAAAATATTATTGCTAAATGTTTCCTTCCGGAAAATACATTTTACGTACTTAATCGCTTGTTTTTCCGGAAAATACAAAAAAAAAAAAAAATACGTATTTTTCTAAAATACATCTGTCTTTTAAACATTTTCTGATTTTCAGCCGTGGGTACTAAATAGAACAGTTCGTGAGAATATTCTCTTCTCTAATCTGGATGACGGTGAAAAACCAAACGAAGAATTATATGCCCGTGTAGTTGATGCTTGTGCTCTTAAATCTGATTTTGCTGTTTTACCTGAAGGTGACCAAACAGAAATTGGTGAACGTGGAATTAATCTTTCGGGTGGACAAAAAGCTAGGGTAGAAAATTTTTGGAAGCCTAGAAAAAAATTTTTAAAAAATTTTTTAAAGGTAAATTTGGCTAGAGCTTTATACCATCAAGCAGATATTTATTTACTTGATGACGTTCTCTCAGCTGTTGATGCTATTGTAGGAAGACATTTATTCGACTTAGCAATAGGTCCTGAAAGTTTAACTAAAGGAAGTACAAGAGTACTAGTTACACATTCTTTGGCTTATTTGGCTGAAACTGATTGGATTGTTGTGATGGAAGGTGAGGAGGTTTATGAAAAGTTTCCGGATTCCTGAAAACACATTAATTTTTATATTTTCCGGAAACTTTTATAATTATTTGTGTTTTCCGGAATGGTCACTTTTATATGTGTAAATGTTTTGTGTTTTATTATTTGTATTTCCGGAAACTTTATTTTTCCAGGAAACAGTCTAATTACAATTGTAATTTAATTTACTTCCGGAAAGTTTATTTTATATTATATTTTTATATTTTCCGGAAACTTCAATATTCTATTTATTTATTTAGATGGTCAAATACTTGGACAGGGCACATATGAGGAATTATTAAATGAGCCTAAAACAGCACAATTAATTGCACATTTGGAAGAGAAAGAAAAGGAAAATGAAAAAGAAGATGAAAAAGAAGGCAAAAAATATTTTTTTCAAGAATATTTTAAAATTTTTAGAAGAACAAACAGAAAATAATGAAAGTGATTCTGATGATTCAAGTACTTGGAAAGGGGAAGAAACCCCTTCTTCACCTCTTCCATGTTATACAGATGAGGTGACTGATGGTAATTTAGCTATGAGTTTGATGAGTGTCCATTCTGCTGGTTCTTTTACTAATACTTTGAGAAGGCGTACACAAAGTAGTCGAAGCTCTTTGAAGGTAAAAATAGGGTTTTCCGGAATGTTTAAGTGTAAAATAAGTGTAAAAATAAACACCGGAAAACAGTAAACTACAATTGTAAATAAAGAGAATAAACTACATATTACAATTGTAATTTAGTATATTATTTTCCGGAAAGTATAACTTAATAGCTTATATTGTGTTTTCCGGAATTTTTTAAACTATTTGGTTAATTACAAATGTAATTTAAATGCTTTTCCGGAAAGTTTTTCGGAACTCGTTAAATTATAGTGATGGTCGGGAGTTAAAAAAAGCCGAGAGTCGGGAACCGAGACCGAGACCGGGAATCAACCCCGAGACCGAGTCCCGGGTCGAGACCGAGAGTCGAGACCAAGAGATTAGGAGGGATATCACTTGATATACCCTTATATATCCTTCCTCCATATCCTTTCAAATTCCCATAAGCTCCGATATCCGACAAGTCCATTGCTACCACTAATATTTAGGGCCGTATACGATTATTCTTGTATTTTGTAAGGCTTTAAGCGATAAATCCTCCAATTTCATTCATTTTTTGCGCCGCAGGCGAAAATTTTGAGAATTTTGGAGGTCATGAAGCCAGATTTCTCCCATTTTCTACGCCGCAAGTGAGTATGTATACTGAGGATTTAGGCGCCCTATGCGAAAATTTTAAAAAATTCATGATTCAATTAAAATTTTTATGTCTTTTCAGGTTATAATATTTAAAAAAATAAATTTGAAATCAAAATCAAAGTTAAAAGACATTTATTTTTGAAAAGAAAAATTTTTTCCAGCCTAAATCCAAACCCTGGATTCGAACCCAAACCTAACAAAAAGCAAATTAATTGAAGTCAGTCAACTTATCCACTCAACCATCGACCATCAAAAGGAAAAATGGGAGAAAATATAAATATTTCTTTCCCTTTTCCTTAAAAAATTAAATGTCTAAGTACGAGGGTTACGAGTAAAATTTAAAAAATTTCCGTCATTAGGGGTGTAAATTTAGTCTCGTTTTCCGAGACCAAAACACCGAGACCGAGACCGAGAGCTCAAAAAACCCGGGAAATTTCCCGACTCGGGAACCGAGACCGGGAATCCCGACCATCACTATTAAATTATAATGTGTTTTCCGGAAAGTTTTCTATTTACAATTGTAATTTAATATTCTTTCCGGAAAGTTTTCTATTTACAATTGTAATTTAATATTCTATCCGGAAAGTTTTCTATTTACAATTGTAATTTAATATTCTTTCCGGAAAGTTTTCTATTTACAATTGTAATTTAATATTCTTTCCGGAAAGTTTTCTATTTACAATTGTAATTTAATATTCTATCCGGAAAGTTTTCTATTTACAATTGTAATTTAATATTCTTTCCGGAAAGTTTATTTTATATTTTAAGAAATCAAGAATTTCAATTAATGAGAGAAAAACAACAAAAACAATAGTAGAAAACAAAGTTGGAGGTAAACTAATAGAGAAGGAGGAAGCGGAAGCGGTAAATAACGTGAATAAATAATTTAAAAAATTAATTTTTAGGGAAGAGTTAGTCCTTCAATTTATTTAGCTTATTTTGCAGCAATGAGATGGCCAATATTTATTGGATTTATTTTCTTTCTTTTTAGTCAATTTGTACTTAATATTGTGCAAAGTTTGTGGTTAACTAGTTGGTAAGGGATTTTATATTTTTAATTTTAAATTTAAAAAAATTTTTTTTGAAGGTCAGATGATAATTCTAATATAACTTTAAAAGAACCAAAAATGTCTGTTGGTGTCCGTTTCTTTATTTATGTACTTGTAGGACTTGGAATTGGTAGGTTAATTGTTTAGGGATTTTAAATTAGTGTTATATAGGGGCGTGTTTTCCGGATAGTTTATATTTGTAGTCTATTTACAATTGGAATTTAATATTTAGTTTCCGGAAAGTTTATTTTACAAATAAACTTGTTTAATTTCTATGTTTTCCGGAAAGTTAGCCTAAAAATATTTTATTTTTTAAAGTTCTCTCACTTGGATTGTCAAATATTTTACAAATTCTCGGTGCTGTTTCAGCCAGTATTCGTTTACATGGACCTCTACTAGACAGAGTTTTGCATGCTCCAATATCATTTTTTGATACAACGCCTTTAGGGAGAATATTAAATAGATTTGGAAAGGTAAAGAGAGAAGGGGAGTAAGATTGGGCGGATAGTTGGAAATCTTAGGATATCCGATATCCGAACCGAAAATTTCCGGATATCTGGCCTTTTTCGGATCCAGATCTGCCAACCTTAAGATGGAGGGGTTGGAATTTTATAACCTTTCATTTCTAATGTGGTCAGGTCTGTCCGTGTTTCTTGGAAACTTTCTAAGATGATTTATAAATTTAAAAAAAATTTCCTTGTTCCAAATTCCAATTTCCAAGCTCTTTTTTATTTTTAAACACTTCCTTTTCCCTAAATTTAATTTTTAATTTAAGGAATTTGATGTTGTCGATCTTCGTTTAGCTAGTACATTTAGAATGCTTGGATTTAGTTTATTAATGGTACTTCAAGTATTTATCCTTATTTCGTTATCTATGCCTATTTTTATTATTTTGATTGTTCCAACAGTTTTGTTTTATTTGTTAATTTTGGTAAGAAATTTTTCATTAATGTTTTAAAGTACAGCCGACCTCCCTAAAAGGATACCCTAAAAAAATAGTCTCTTATAATGAAATGTCTATTAAATAGAGGGTATCGTTTGGACACCTTCCCCCATTCAGGGTAACCAAATTCTAAAAAGAATGTTCATTAAATAGAAGTGTCTCTAACAATGGGTGTATAATATAGAGAGGTTGACTGTACCCTATGACACTCTATTTTTAATTTTTAAAGCATTATTTTATCCCAACATCTCGACAACTTCAACGATTAACATCTGTCACTCGTTCACCTCTATACAATTTATTTGCTGAAACAATTAACGGAACAACCTCAATACGTGCTTATGGAGTTGTCCAAACTTTTTTTAATCATTTTTGTTCTAAATTGGATATTCAAGTTGGATGCAGGTACATATTTGGATATAATTATTAGATATAATTACTGAATAAACAGTGTCAGGCACCTTCAATTTAATAAGCGAGGCTGACAGGCGGGGGTAGAGGGAATGACTGCCTGGAGCTAAACTTTTAAGGGAGCGCGCAATGAAAGTTTAGTAGTACTATGCAGGCAATGAATTCAATGCTAGACGATTTCTCTCACCACGTACAAATCAGGGAACGTGCTGACATAAAATATATAAATTCCCGCTTTCGGAAATCAAGACAACACGTTCATTAATACAATTGTTCTCTACTGATTGGGCTACTGGGGCATTGTTTTCACATTCTCTTTTAATATATATCCTAATCCCCACCTTTTAACACTAATTTAGGTTAGGAATAAAATAAAATTTTTGAAAGATATTTTTCACTAATTGCCAATCGTTGGTTATCTGTTCGACTTGAACTTATTGGAAATTTGTTAATTCTTTTTTGTTCTGTAATGGCTGTATTTTCTCGCGATTGGGGGACTGCTACAGCTGGACTTATTGGATTAGCTATTTCTAAAAGTTTAGATGTTTGTTTGTTTTTGAGGAATTAAAAAAATATTTTTCATTAACTAGATAACTGTAATTCTTGGATTTTTGGTTAGAAATATTAATGATGCAGAAATGAGTATAGTTTCGGTGGAAAGAATTTTGGAATATAGAGATTGTCCTCAGGAGGTGATTTTATTTTTTTTTAAATCTTTTCGAATGTTCACAAAGCTCCTACTTATCCCAACATATATTCGTGGTATTCCAGTTGACTCAATCTTATAAATCTTCTAGTTATCCCATTCACAACTTCAAATTTTACTAAGTTCCAGTTATCTCAATATCAATTCGTCAACTCCAATTTATCTCAAGTTCCCAAATATCATAAACTATTAGTTATCCTTTTTGCAGAGTCTTTTTTAATTTGGGATAAGATAGAGATTTCAATATATTTTTATAAAAAGTTCATTTAGGCATCCTGGAAAAGTTCTAAAGGCAGAGAACCCCCAGCAGATTGGCCTAGTCGTGGAGCCGTTCATTTCCAAAAATTTTCTTGTAGATACAGACCAGAATTGGATCTTTCTTTACGTGGAATTACTGCAGAGATTAAACCTGGAGAAAAAGTAAAATTCGAAAAAAATTTCCAGAAATAATTAAAAATAGGTTGGAATTGTTGGCAGAACCGGTGCAGGAAAGACTTCTTTTGCTTTAGCACTTTTTCGAATAATTGAAGCAGCTGAAGGCCGTATTTTAATTGATGGAGTAAATATTGCTAAAGTTGGTCTTCAAGAGCTTAGATCGAGAATAACGGTGAGAAAATAAATTAATTTTGAGAGTAAGAAATAAGTGAAAATCTTGGAAGGGGTTTAAAGTGTAGTTAAATGAGATCCTTTATAGGTGAAAAGATGGGGAAGAGGTGAGGGAACGGCTGTTCCGAAATAAGAAGAAAATCTTATTACGGATTACCTAATTCTTGGTGATGGAAGGGAAAGTGGATTGAGTACCTGGTGGTCGTGTTGAGAAAGTCTATATTTCGAGTATCGGGTCGGATTTCGGATAACCCGACTGATATTGCTAAAGTCGGTGCTTTCTAGGTGGACTTGAGGATTTCTTCTTAGGGACTTTTATATATTTTTTATTTTTTAAAGATAATTCCACAAGATCCAGTTCTCTTTTCTGGCACCTTACGTTTTAATTTGGATCCATTTAATGTTTATAAAGACCACGAATTATGGACAGCTTTAGAACAAGTCCATTTAAAACAATTTGTTGAAGCACAACCAAAAAAATTATTT